GTACTCATTTTCGCGTTGCCGGGAAAATTGCGCGCCCGCTTTTTTCGCATTGTAAGATCGCGAGGCGCTTTCAACCTTTGAACCGCGCTACTGCAATTCTTTGTGTTGTTTCTGCCGCGGCCTTCGTCTTTCTACATGTGCGCGGCTTTGATCCGTAATTAGCTTAAAATTTAATTATAAAAATGGGGAAAAAACCCCGAAACCGCAAGGGACACCACCGACTCAAAGGGTTCGGAAATATGCAGATCATGTACGGAAATAAAGGGCAGAATCGGGAGGGAGGGCGGAATTTTCCTTGAAACTTAACGTGTGCTCATAGAAGCTTATCAGTCATAATTATTCGTTATCATCTGATATTCGTTAATATCTGAAGATCCTTTTCTTGAATAAATAGAGAGATGTTTGATTTTCACGGAATCATTGCTTAAACGGATTGTAAAATAATATATTCACGGCATTTTTCTTAACACGTCCTTTACATTTATATTACTCACGTACGTTAATTACGCGTTAATGCTTCTTGTTTCAATTAAAAAAAATCTTTTAGGTTATGTTTATCATCGCGAACAGCTTTTTTTTGTTTGCACTTAGGCGACAAAGTATTTATTGTTTTAGTATTTTGAAATATGCTACTAATTACTGGATGATTAGAGTATAGATTCAGTTGAGGTGAAGATTGTTCAGGTGTAAGATAAATATGGATGACGACAAAGTACATGTAAGTTTTATTGGACTTTTTCCACAAAATTGTAGGTAAATAAGTGCGGCAATACCTACACCTTGCACCAACTGTGTGATTCTTTTAGTGTCAATCAATTTTACAAGCGCTTTTTTTGTGCTCCTGTCACATGCCGTAAGGTCCCGAACTGTTGTGCTCCTGATCCAAAGGTTTTCAATTCTGCGCCTGTTAGTTATGTGCTCCTGTCACAATTAATAATTGTATTAAAATCACAGAAGTGCTGGAAGGTCAACTCGAGCTCGATATTTTCTCTTTTAAAAGTTCTTGTATCAGGATCAGAGCAAGTGCCGCTATGTTCTCCTGACGCCAATTTTTCTTCAGATTCAGCCTGGATCACGGAAAGCCAAGAATCCTTCCCCTGCACAAATGGATCTTTGAAAAGTGACCACAGAAAAGCAAGTATGCGTAATACTAATGTTCTTCTGATAAAAAATGATTGCTGCAAGAAGAGGCGTGATATCACTTTGTTCTCTGGATAAACATTTCTTTAGTGCCAGGACCACAGAAAGACAGGTGTAATATCTAGTCTCACTTATTTTGCACTCCTGATACAAATTTCCCATTCTTTAAAAATGGTGTCGAAATCAGGGAAAACCAAGGAAAGACCCCGTTTCATGTAATATGTCCTCCTGATACAAATTGTTAAATTAAGAGTGGTATCAGAATCCCAGAAAAGGAGGGAGCGGTATTTTATAGTTTTTCTTGGTGTTACTTTTAAAAATTGTATCAGGATCACACAAAAGTAAGGAGGTGTATTTCTTATTCTTCTCATTTCTTGGTCTTGACACAAATTTTACTTTCAACAATTGCATCAGGATCATAGAAAAGAGATCTGTAATATTTAATTTTCTCAATTATTAAGTTCTGCTGGATTTTAAGAAAAATTTTGAGCAGGAGAAATTTGTGTCAGGATCACAGAAAGGTAGGAACGTGTAATATTTGATCTCGTGATGCAAACTGATGTTTTAAAAATTGTATCAGAATCACAGGAAGAAAGGTATAATTTTTATTCTTCTCGTTTCTTGGTCTTACCACAAATTGTATCAGGATCACAGAAAGGTTCGTCTCATTTATGTGATCTCCTGATGCAAATTGCTATTTTAAAGGTTGTATCAGATTCACAGGAAGGAAGGGAGGTGTATTTTTTTATTCTTCTCATTTTTGGTCTTGACATAAATTTTACATTTAAAAAATTGCTTCAGGATCACAGAAAACAAAACCTGTCATATTTAATTTTCTCAATTATTTTGTTCCCTTATACAAATTATAAAAGTTAAATTTGGATCAGGGGAAAATTGTATCAGGCTCGCAAACTTGTTTGGTCTTCTGACGCAGGTGTTTGTATCCAGTTCCAGAAACGCCAAGACGTATACCGTTTATTTTGGTGCAACTTGCTCATTTTAAAATGATCATATCAGGATCACAGAAACGTAGAGAATACTCGTTTATTTGTTCTTCTGGTGCAAACTACTCCTTTGTTGTATCATGAACAAATTGAAAGTGAAGTGTAAATTTATTTTCCTCGTGTATTTGGGCTTCAACAAAATGATTTCATCAGGATCACATAAACGCAGGAATTCTTTTAATGCATTGGCCTCTCTCAGAGCTGAGCAGTATTCGATTTTGTAAATACTTTTTAGTATTCAAATCCTTTAAAGTATTCAAATACTTTTATAGAAGCAGTATTTGTATTTGTAACTCAAATACTTTCACAAATATTTAGTATTCTAATACTTCGCAAGGTATTTGAATACTTAACCTTCCTTTTTTAGCAAAAATCGACTGCACCAAAATTTCTCCGGAAAACACTTTTTCTTATTAATTTTGGTGCGTAGAATCCAAAACAATTCGTACTTTTTCGATCAGAGACTTCTCAATCAAAAGTTATAGACTAGAAACCAATTTCTAAAAAAAAATTCAAAGGGCTGTAACTTTTGAACTAGTAGCCCAATCTTGGAACTGTTTGAAATTATGGATTCTACAGGCCACATTCTATAAGAAAATTTTTTTCCGGGTCGATCTGAGACAATTTTTTTTTGCAGGGCTCAAAAAAAGGCAGTGTATAACCTTCCTTTTTTTACCAAAATTCGACTACACCAAAATTTCTTGGGAAAACACTTTTTCTTATTAATTTTGGTGCGTAGAATCCAAAACAATTCGTACTTTTTCGATCAGACTCCTCAATCAAAAGTTATAGACTAGAAACCAATTTCCAAAAAAAAAATTCAAAGGGCTTTAACTTTTGAACTAGTAGCCCAATCTTGGAACTGGTTGAAATTATGGATTCTACAGGCCACATTCTATAAGAAAATTGTTTTTCCGGGTCGATCTGAGACAATTTTTTATTCGCGGCTCAAAAAAAGGCAGTGTATAACCTTCCTTTTTTACCAAAAATCGACTACACCACAATTTCTCGGGAAAACACTTTTTCTTATTAATTTTGGTGCGTAGAATCCAAAACAATTCGTACTTTTTCGATCGGACTTCTCAATCAAAAGTTATAGACTAGAAACCAATTTCGAAAAAAAATTCAAAGCATTTAGTATTCAAATACTTTTTGAAAGTATTCTGCCCAGCTCTGGCCTCTCTTGGTCCTTTTTAAAGTGGTATCAGGATTAGAGGGAAGCAAGAAAATGTCTCGTTTATTGACATAGTGTTTTATGATACAAACTGTACCAGGATGACAGAAAATATTTATCTTTTCGTTTATTTCGTTCTTCAGGAATCTCCATCACACAGTGGCGTTGAATATAGGATCACATGGATCAGGGGACAGCGGGGTGGTGTATATTCTTCTCGTCTATTTTGCTCTTCTGATACTGATACTGTTGGTATTAGGTTTAACGTATTATATTTTCTTGGTCCGAACCGCAGAAAACCAAAAAGGTTGGCAAACAGCTTTTGTCTTCTGATCACTTTTTAAGAAAAGTTCAGGAATGCAAGAATGTGTAAAATTAATCCTCCTCCTCCATCTCACGTATTATGTTCTCCTGATACAAATTTCTGTATCAGGATCACAGAATATAATTATCAGGTTCACAGAAGGGCAAAGGAAAATGACCTTTTCTTGATACATTTTTTTTATTCTTATACTTTCTTCATTTTCTTTTATCTAAATCTTTGTTTATAATCTTTTTCTTCTTTCTCGCTTTTTGTCTTTTCTTCTGAGTCTATTTTTCTTCGCCCTTTTTTTTTCTTCGTCCAGGCTTATTTCTAAATAGTGCAAAGAAAAAATTTTCTCGTTTCAGAGTGAGAGAGACTGACCGACCCGAGGATCGATATGCTGCAATGAGCGACTTTCTTGAACGAAACGCAATAACAATTCAAAATTTAATTGCCCCAGAAACGAATCCTGATTGCGCGCATTCACATTAAACCTCTCTTTTTTTTATTATTATTTTCGCTATATACCTACGAAAAAGCTCATTACCCCGTATCATTAGCGTAGATCTTGATGAATCATTTCGGCGAGTTTCAATTTTATATAGAATTTGATGCAAATTTTATGCTCATTGTTTTAAAACGGAGAAAAAAAAATAATTAATATTAATCGTATAAATCTTGGGAAAATACAGTGTCTATCTAGAAAAAAAAACGGCATCCAGTTATCCAAACAAACGATGTTCAATTAGTTAAAATCATCGCGAGCAAAAAGCGGCGCGAAAAACAATCGGGGCCACTAAAAATTGTGCTGCGATTTTTTGCTGTTGGACGCCAATAAATTCTCGTTCGCTATCGGTTTTCCTGCAAGAAAGGGTTTGGAATGGCGCGAGAGAGATAGCGATCTGCGGATGTGGCTTTGATTGATTCGGAATCGGCTCGAAGTTTGGATATGCAAAAACGCACCCTTGCGGAGGTATCTATCTGAAATATTGGTTTATATTTATCATCTGTGAAGGGTTTCCTCTTCCGTTTCCCTTTTCTACCCTTATTTTCCAAGCTGTTCGATTTTGTTTTTTGTTTTTAATGAGAAAGGGGGGAATTCGGATTTATTAACGGAATTTTGCAGTTCTGCGAGTATTAATTTGACATGCGAGCCAATACGCAAATTGGGCCTCTGTTCCACTTATATAAATCCGTTTGTTTTTGACTAGGGATGTCTTTGTAATTTAAGAGCTCGAACGGATCGATTCCTCAGACACATAAAAGGGGTTGAACGGATTAATGTCTTCATATACGCTATTGATTGATTTTGTTAATTACGCGCGAAATTCGAGCCTCATTTTTACATCTTTGTCTCAAGCGACGGTTTCCGTTACAGATCACCCACCTTTTGGAGGAGGTACAACGACTCCAGCTCAGCATAACCAAGCTGCAAGAGTCTTCCATGTCGCAAATCTCCAGGTTGGAAGACGAACTGGAACAGAAACGACAGCACATTGTTCGACTAGAAAACAGGATCGATTTACAAAGGGACTACGAGGACCTCAAAAGAGAAATCGGGTAAGTCTCAACGAATCCCAAACGAAAGTAGATCACAAATATTTGTTCACAGCGCTATTGGTCGCTGATAGTGTAAGTATTTAATAATCCTGCCCCCTTTCTCCCCCCACATACGTTTGCTCGGCTACAATTTGTTTTCTTATTTCAGTATCTTAAGGTCAGTTAACTTTTCGACTAACAACCCCGAAAGTAAATCAGCCGAATTCCTGGAGCGAGCAAGAAGCGAGGCCTCCGAACCACCTGTTACTCAAGACAATGAAGGTGAGCATACACACTCTGTGTTACCATGGCATGTTTCCTTACCACACAATGTTCCCGTTAGGGGGGATGGGAGACACAAAGTCCCAAGTAGGTTAAAATACTCACCCGCAAGATTCGTTTTAAATTGGGCACGGTCATGCGTTTATTGAGAGTAGAAACGAGATCTTAATCAGCGCGCGCCACGGTTCGCTAGCGGATTCCCAAAAATTCGAAATTACCATAGATTAGTTACTTACAATATATAATTGCTCGCATAAAATAACTTTATTCTTTTTAATTAGCATGGCTCGTAATAAATTATTGTCGGTCGACCGTAAACTGAGGAAGTCGTCCGTCAGAATCTTTTGATGAACTGGGTAGATATCGAAATTAAACTTTGCGAAACGTTGCCTTTACCTAGGAATTATAAATACGGTCGGGTTTTTTAAACAAATAAAAGCGCGCACCTCCTATTGTTCTTATTTAGAAAAAACAAACGTTCTTTCCATAACGGTCCATTGACACAGTCGACACCAAAAATCCCACCCTCTAACTTGAAACATTCCTCTTCGTCGAACTTTCGGTGTATTTGTTACAAGTGTGACCTCGTGAATGAACCGGATTTGGGTGTTTAGGGTTCGGTTCCAGACTTTTGGAGGATTACGAACGATTGCAAAATTTTAGTTACGAGGAAAGTTTTGAGAAATTTTGAAAATCTCTAAATGCTAAATTTTTTCGAAAAAAAAAATCGATTCTTACCCCCCAGACCCCCCGGTACTACGTACCACTCCAGAATATTTACAACAATAACGTTTTGGGGGGAAAGAGACAGTACAGGGGCGTCTGGAGGGTATGGCATACCCCCAGTAAGCAATGGAAATTTTTTCGAAAAAAGATAATCAATTTTTCTTGTGGCTGGGGGTACGTCATACCCCCCAAAACCCCCCGGTATCCAGAATATTTACAAATATTCCATACCTCCAATAAATATTGGAAATGTTTTTAGAAAAAATATATTTAATTATTCTTGTGTGCTGGGGGGTATTCCATACCCCCCAGACCCCCCGCTAGAACGCACCGCCCCAGGACGCATTATTATTTTGTTGGGAAATTGTTCACACATGAAAGTTCTTAAGGCAGAACGTATTGGGGGAAAATATACAGTACCGGAGGCTCTGGGGGATATTCCATACCTCCAATAAATATTGGAAATGTTTTTCGAAAAAAGATAATTAATTATTATTGTGTGCTGGGGGGTATTCCATACCCCCCAGACCCCCCGGTAGGACGTACCGCCCCGAAATGTTTACAACACTCAGGACGCATGATTATTTTGTGGGGAAATTGTTCATAAATGAAAGTTCTTAAGGCAGAACGTATTGGGGGGAAATATACAGTACCGGAAGCTCTGGGGGATATTCCATACCTCCAATAAATATTGGAAATGTTTTTCGAAAAAAGATAATTAATTATTCTTGTGTGCTGGGGGGTATTCCATACCCCCCAGACCCCCCGGTAGGACGTACCGCCCCGAAATGTTTACAACACTCAGGACGCATGATTATTTTGTGGGGAAATTGTTCATAAATGAAAGTTCTTAAGGCAGAACGTCTTAGGGGAATATATACAGTACCGGAGGCTCTAGGGGGATATTCCATACCTCCAATAAATATTGGAAATGTTTTTGGAAAAAAGATAATCGATTATTCTTGTGTGCGGGGGGGGATTCCATACCCCCCAGACCCCCCACTAGAACGCACCGCCCCAGGACGCATTATTATTTTGTTGGGAAATTGTTCATACATGAAAGTTCTTAAGGCAGAACGTCTTGGGGGAAAATATACAGTACCGGAGGCTCTGGGGGATATTCCATACCTCCAATAAATATTGGAAATGTTTTTTGAAAAAAGATAATCAATTATTCTTGTGTGCTGGGGGGTATTCCATACCCCCATACCCCCCAGACCCCCCGGTAGGACGTACCGCCCCGAAATGTTTACAACACTCAGGACGCATGATTATTTTGTGGGGAAATTGTTCATAAATGAAAGTTCTTAAGGCAGAACGTCTTAGGGGAATATATACAGTACCGGAGGCTCTGGGGGATATTCCATACCTCCAATAAATATTGGAAATGTTTTTTGAAAAAAGATAATCAATTATTCTTGTGTGCTGGGGGGTATTCCATACCCCCATACCCCCCAGACCCCCCGGTAGGACGTACCGCCCCGAAATGTTTACAACACTCAGGACGCATGATTATTTTGTGGGGAAATTGTTCATAAATGAAAGTTCTTAAGGCAGAACGTCTTGGGGGAAAATATACAGTACCGGCAGCTCTGGGGGGATATTCCATACCTCCAATAAATATTGGAAATGTTTTTGGAAAAAAGATAATCGATTATATTTGTGTGCGGGGGGGTATTCCATACCCCCCAGACCCCCCGGTAGTACCTACCACCCCAGAATGTTTACAACACTCAGGACGCATGATTATTTTGTAGGGAAATTGTTCATATATGAAAGTTCTCAAGGCAGAACGTCTTGGGGGAAAATATACAGTACCGGAGGCTCTGGGGGGATATTCCATACCTCCCATAAATATGGGAAAATTTTTCGAAGAAAGATAATTAATTATTCTTGTGTGCTGGGGGGTATTCCATACCCCCCAGACCCCCCGGTAGGACGTACCGCCCCGAAATGTTTACAATACTCAGGACCCATGATTGTTTTGTGGGGAAATTGTTCAAAAATGAAAGTTCTTAAGGCAGAACGTCTTGGGGGAAAATATACAGTACCGGAGGCTCTGGGGGGATATTCCATACCTCCAATAAATATTGGAAATGTTTTTCGAAAAAAGATAATTAATTATTCTTGTGTGCTATACCCCCCAGAACCCCCGGTAGTACCTACCACCCCAAACTGTATACAACATTTAGCAAGCATGATTATTTGGTAGGGACATTGTTCATACATGAAAGTTTTCAAAGGCAAAACGTCTTGGGGGGTAGGGGGGGGGGCTGAGAGGTATAGAATACCCCCCAATATATAATGGAAATGTTTTTCGAAAAAAGATAATAATTATTACTGTGTTCTGGGGGGTATTCCGTACCTATTTTTTTAGGGAAATCGATCTTACATGATAATTATTAAGGCTGAACGTTTCGGGGGAGAACATACAGTGCAGGAGGATCTGGGGGTATTCCCATTTAAAATTTGGGATGCAATATTTAAGAAATTTCGGTAATTTTTAAAATGTGTAGGAAGTTACGAGGCAAGTTTTAGAAATTTTTGAAAACAAGATAGGATCGTTGGATACATTTGCGGAAAAAGGCTTGCCTTCTAAGGAACAGACGAACAGATAGACAGAGTGGTTGATATCGCCATAACGCATATGTGTCTTTGCTCCGAATTCACTGAGTATCTATGGGTAAAATGTTTTAAAACTTCTATAACCCATTTGAAGATTCTATTCTTAGCTCAATAGATGCGCTCCAACACTTAACCTTCGTTTAAACTCTCGCATCAGGAGAACTGAAGGTGTGCCTTAGAAAAATGTAAATTTTCTCTGACTACCAGGAGAACATAGCCCTCCTAAGCGCAAATCTCTTGTATCAGTAGATTACAATGTGTCAGAAGACGCTTTTGCTCTCTGTTAGGGAAATGTAAATTTTTTCTCGTTACTATGAGAACATAAACCATGAGAAGGTTTTTTCCTAAACTGAATAGAACCTGTTCCAAACACCTGAATTAAATGAATATAATGGTGCGAAGAATTTAAGTTATCTCTTAGAAAAATGTAAATGTTTTAGGGCAACCAGTAAAACATGAGGAGTTTTTTTTATGATCTCAAGAGAAATGTTCACTTTATTGTCATGTAAACGTTTGTATCAGGAGAATATCATGTGCTAGACAAATGTTCTAAAGCCCCATGGGGAGATTTCATTGTTATTTAACCTTTTTTATCAGGAGAACATAATCTTTCGTTTTAGCTTTTGTGTCTCAGTGGAAGCAGGCGTTTCTGCTCCTAATTCTCAATGCAAAGGCTACCAGAAGCCCATAAGGAGATCTTTTTCCAAACCTAAGAGAACGTACCAAAGAGTCGTATCGGGAGAATATAATGTGGCAGGAGGCGTTTCTGTTAGGAAATATAAATAAAAAAATTTTATGATTACCAGGCGAACTGAGGAGAATGTAACGTGCGAGGTTTTTCTAACTACCAGGATAACATAATTTATTTCTTCAGATCCCATTTTCGCAATTTCTTCACGCCATTTTTTTACAGCACTTCATAAATCTTCTTAACCCCCTCCCATTCTCTCTTTCTTCTAAAGGACGTTTCATGCCCCCGTTTCGTAACCCTCATTTCAAACGTCGTTCTCCCCAGACCTCGCTTCTGTACACCTTTTGCACGATTCCTTTACGTCTCGTGCTTTTTTATATGCTCTTCTCCTGTATTCGCCTCTTCTTTTTTTCACTTTCTTCCATTTTTCCCGCTCCCCTGGCCTTCCAGTTTGCATCTTTCATGCCTGCTTCACAACGCCTTAGTCGTGTTTTTGTTGAGCTGTTTTCCACCACACCTCTTCACTGCCATTTTCTTCACCACCTCGCTGCTTCGTTCCTTCGTGTCTTCTTCGCTATTCCTTAACTCCTCGTCTTCTTCTTTTGCAGTCTTCATTTTCGTCACTTATTTACACCCACTTTTTTCATTTTTGTTTAATATTTCTTCATCTTATCTCTCTTACGTTTGCTTCACTTCTGTCTCCTTTCTTCATTCCATTACATGGTCTTCAAACCTTATTCACTCTTTTTTTCCACACCTGTCTATTACCATTCTTCTTTCCTTTTTTTGGAATCGCTTCCTTTTTTTCATTCTTTCATGTTTCTTCATGTTCGATCTCGTCTCCTTTTTTTCCACTTCCTTCATGGCATCTCTACTCATATCTGCCTTTCTGTAGGTTTTTGTAAATGCTTCCCTGCGCTTTTTATTATTTTTTTAATTCCTTGATGTTTATGTTGAATTTTTGAGGTTTTTGGAAGTTTCTTTAGATTTCTGTAGGTTCCTTTTTGTGATGTTTCTGTAAAATGTACGGACAAATACCAGGAATGTCTTTTGATGATGTATTGCCAGGATGGAATCTTATGTTTTAAAAAGTGTCACAATTTCTTTGTTTATTGAATTAAAAATCACCATATAGAATACTCCAGGCATACCGAGGAATACCAGCTGAATACTAAAGAATACCGAGAGAATACCAGACGATCTTCGACGGTCCAAATAAATAAGAGAACGTTAATCATAAAATTAGAAACAATTATCCCAGAGTTTATTGTCAAAACTACCAGAAACATCATTTGTTGCCTTTTTTTTTAGCTTTTCACGGCGAGTGCAAAATGTTTTTGTAAGTAACTAATCTTTTCTTGTAGCTTGGTACAGTAACAAACTATTGCCGGTCGGTTACTAATCAATATCGGGCCATTACCGGGTAGTTACTCGCGGCTTCTACCGGGAAGTTTTCACGTCATTCGCTTATTTCTCTTACATTTGCATTACACAGTTGTAACTTACTAACCCTTTAAGTGTGCCGTCTCTTTACAAATAATTTTGCAGCTTCATGTTCAAATTAAAACGCCCCACTTGCCTTCCAGGAGGTGCTAACCCGCCATCAACACAACCTTCAGAGTCACCCTCCGATCTTCCCAAATCGCCACAAAACAGTTCCCTTCCGCCCCTATTCCAAAACGTCGAGACATTCGGCACGATACTCGGCGAGGAGATAGTCGCGACTTGGCGACGAAGCATCGAACAGATTACCTTAAATAACCGAATAATACCCTCCTCACCCTCTGCAGATGGCCCGCTAACGGTTTCGACGCCCGTCGTCGGCGACCTGACCGAAAAGAGCACGGCGTCGACGCCGCAACCGCCGTCCGAGCCGATCAGCGCGCCGCAAGTGTCGCCGAACGAGCTGCTGCTTAACGGCAACCCGAAGACGCCCGAGGACAACAACAACCACCACCTCAGCAACAACAACGTCCCGTTAGCCGCGACCATGTGCGCTGTGAATAACTTTTTGCGCGGCGAGGACTCGCTCAAGAGTCCCTACCGGTTCGAGGAGCACAGATCGCCGTTCCGCTTCTCGGAGGACCTCGGCCTGCCGCCCGGTTCCATGGTCGGGAGGTTGGGCGAGAGCCTCATTCCAAAGGGCGATCCCATGGAGGCGCGCCTGCAGGAGATGCTCCGGTACAACATGGACAAGTACGCCGCGCAGAACCTGGACACGCTGCACATTTCCCGGCGAGTTCGTGAGCTACTCTCGATTCACAATATCGGCCAAAGACTCTTCGCGAAATACATCCTCGGACTCTCGCAGGGCACCGTCTCGGAGTTACTCTCCAAACCGAAACCTTGGGACAAACTGACTGAGAAGGGCAGGGACAGCTACCGGAAGATGCACGCTTGGGCGTTGGACGAACACGCTGTGATGCTCTTGAAATCCCTTATACCAAAGAAAGGTAAGCTTCATTTTTTCTTAGAGCCTTTTGTGACGGTGCATGATGCTAGTAGAGTAGATTGCATGACTTGACCTCTAAACACACAACTAAACACTTACACTTTTACCAAAGCAGCACACGATTCTTCACCTTATCTGAACTTTCACTCCTCGCTGATAGGGGCTTTTAGAAAACTGTTCTGGAGTAACAACATTAAAAATTCAAAGTGACCCTCTGCAATGTTATAAATGCATAAACTGACATTTCACGAGATTCCTAGGCTCGTCTAGCTAGTGAAAGAATCTAGGAGACCAAGTCCAGTCTTAAGATTTTCGAAGAACACAAAAACATGGAGTTTTCCATTTTCTTTACTGACAAACCTACAAATCCTTTCCAGAGAAATCGAAATCCACAACTTTTGGTACCTTTTAGACCATACAGAGTCTAAGTCCTTCATCTGTGTTCCATCAAACCCACCGATTGGGAATTGGGAAAATATTTTGGGATTTTATTAACAGGGTTCTTGGAGAGAGTAAAAGGAAACTTTAAGGATCTTCTGCGTGTTTCCCTCAACCTTCTGAGCCTTTAGAAAGCGCTAGAAGGATCTCGAAAACTTTTCTTTTTCCCTACGACTTTTAGAGCGATTTCTAGAACACCCACAGGTTTTCCAGAGTAATAGGAAATTTCCTTGGGTTTTCTGGATCTTTTTCAAAGCTTTATGTGACACTGGAAACAATTTAAGCGAAGCGCTAGTAAGATCTCAAAAACTCTTCTGTCACCCACACGTTTTCCAGAGAAGTAGGGGATTTTCCATAGTCTTCTGGATGTTTTCCAAAGCTTTAACAGCCTCGGGAAAGCACTAAAGAGAACGTAGAAAGCACTAGTAAAATCTCCAAAACTTTTCATTCTTCCTACGGTTTTAAATGTGATTTCTAGAACCACCCACCGGTTTTCCAGAGGAATATGAAACTCTCCTAGGCCTGCTGGATGTTTTCCAAAGCTTTATGAGCCTCTGAAAACAATTTAAGAGAACGTGGAAAGCGCGAGTGAGATCTCGAAAAGTCTTCTTGAATTAAAAGTCATTTCTAGAACATCCACGAGTTTCCCAGAGGAATAGGAGATTTTCCACGGTCTTCTGGATGTTTTCCAAGCTTTGTAAGCCTCTGGAAAACCTGGAAAGCGCTAGTAAGATCTCAAAAACTCTTCTATATTTCCTACTATTTTCAAAGTGATTTCTAGAACATCCACAGATTTGCCAGAATAATAGGAAATTTTGCTAGGTCTTCTGGATGTTTTCCAAAGCTCTATGAGCCTCTGGAAACCGCTTAAGAGAACGTGGAAAACTCTAGTAAGATCTTGAAACCTCTTCTTTTTCCCTACGATTTTAAAAGTGATTTCTAGAACCACCCACCGGTTTTCCAGACTAACAAATTTTCCTGGATCTTTATGATCTTCTGGAAAGCAATTAAGAGAGGGTAGTAAGATCCCGAAAGCGCTTCTTTTTTTCTACGATTTGAAAACTGATCTCTAGAACACACACTGGTTTTCCAGAGTAACAGGAAATTTTCCTGGGTTTCCTGGATGTTTTCCAAAGGTTTATGAGCGTCTGGAAATCGTTTAAGAGAACGTGAAAACCGCTAGTAAAATCTCGAAAACTCTTCTGTTTTTCCTATGATTTTAAAAGTGATTTCTAGAACACCCACAGGTTTTCCAGAGAAATAAGAGCTTTTCCTGCATCTTCTGGATGATTTCCAAAGGTTTTTGACCTTCTGGAAATCGCTTAAAAGAACGTGGAAAGCGTTAGTAAGATCTCGAAAACTCTTCTGTTTTTCCTATGATTTTAAAAGTGATTTCTAGAACACCCACAGGTTTTCCAGAGAAATAAGAACTTTTTTCCTGCATCTTCTGGATGATTTCCAAAGCTTTTTGATCATCTGGAAATCGCTTAAAAGAACGTGGAAAGCGTTAGTAAGATCTCGAAAACTCTTCTGTTTTTCCTATGATTTTAAAAGTGATTTCTAGAACACCCACAGGTTTTCCAGAGTAACAGGAAATTTTCCTGGATGTTTTCCAAAGGTTTATGAGCGTCTGGAAATCGTTTAAGAGAACGTGAAAACCGCTAGTAAAATCTCGAAAACTCTTTTGTTTTTCCTATGATTTTAAAAGTGATTTCTAGAACACCCACAGGTTTTCCAGAGAAATAAGAGCTTTTCCTGCATCTTCTCGATGATTTCCAAAGCTTTTTGATCCTCTGGAAATCGCTTAAAAGAACGTGGAAAGCGCTAGTAAGATCTTGAACGTCCTCCTTTTTCCCTACGATTTTTAAAGCGATTTCAGGAGATTTTCCGGGGTGTTTTCCAAAGCTATACTAGTGTCTGGAAAGCATTTAAGAGAGTGTGGAAAGCGCTAGTAAGATCTCGACAACTTTTCTTTTTTTCGTACAATTTTTAAAACGAGTTCTAGAACACCCACAGGTTGTCCAGAGGAATAGGAACTTTTCCTGGGTCTTCCGGATGTTATGAGCCTTTGGAAACCATTTACGATTGTAAAAGTGAATTCTAGTCCACTCACAAGTATTACGCAGTAATAAGAAATTTTCCAGGGATGTTTCCAGGGCACCTTCTCAAAACTTTTTAAGATTTTCAGATATATTTCCGGGGTTTATTAAACCACTTGACTTTGACTGGAATTTCAGAGCTTTATGGCCTGGAAATGGGTTTGAGAGATGATCTAAAGACAGTACCAAAAAAGAGCCTAGTGAGCGTCTCTGTACTCCTAGGGAACTAAGACAGAACTCTCGCAGATTCGTTTGGACAGCCTTCTGGATATTTGCCAGATCTATTTTCACAACATTTTCGATGCGTTCCATATTTTTTTATCCACGTCCCTAGTTCTTTTTGGAGAGATTTCTATCGTCATTCCTGATAAGGATCTACGCTCTTAAATGAGATTTTGGGCCCTTCCAGTACTTTCCTCTACCCCTTTGACAGCAACCTAGATCTTTTCTATTGCTTTGTAGGTTCGCCTAGCTCTAGAGAGGACCGCGTTAACAGTTTCAGAAAGAACCTGAGGGTAGCGCAAAGAGAAGGCTAGTGTCTTACATCTAAGCAATTGAAACACTGTTTCCTGCAAGCCTTTTTGAGTTTGAGTTTTCCTTTTTTTAATCATACAATGGTATCACTTTGTGTGATTTTTGGAATTCCTTTCCTGAACCGCTTTCACCTTGGACTGGGACCTTTGAAAAATCTCCGTTTAGCAACAAATTGGCGCCACACGGTAACCAGGCAAACGTGTAATTTGAAATTGTGATTTTTTAGAAATCCTTGATAAATTGAACGTTGCGGGTAATTAGGCAATTCATGAGACTAATTACGTTTGAGAAAATCAAACAATCGTTCGGTAATTACAAAATCCATATCCGAAGTTATAAAAATATTTTAATTAAATACAAGGTAATGAGAATGGAAAAATAGTTTTTTTTGCAACGCGATGGTTCATTTGAATCCAATTGCTCATTTCCGTCCAGATTTGGACGAATCGAAACTAGTCACATTAAGCGAGTGATGCAAAAATGACAGCATTTTAACCCAAATATTCGCAATTTCGAAGCAATTACATTGTTAAAGTACTCCCACGAATTTCAAAATGACTCCTTCCTTAAACACATTAATTTATGCTAACAAACATATAAATCTACTTAATCTATTTCTATTTTTCGCTTTGCTCTAAATCCCCGTTTTATTTCGAGTAAAAATGAGCCGATTTGGAATTAATTATCAAACGATAGTAATGGCGGACGATCCTCGCGAGGGAAATAGGTCAGACATTCAAAAGGACTCGCATAATGTATTAAAACAGCAACTAATTACAAAAAAGATTTACATAGCGCAAAGGGCGGTGTCCTTTTTAGCATTACCTATTGTCGACGGGAGGGAAAAAGGCGAAATTATTTCCATGGACTTCCGTATGCAATCTTTTACTCGCGAAACTGTAGAAATTTAATATAAGCCAAGTTTCTCCAACCAAACAAGGGAGGTTTTTGTTTTGTTTTGTTTTGTTGCCGATTATATAAGCCAACTCGGGCGGCGTAAAGGCCTTCCGAACGTCAAAATAATTCGCTCGGAAATTTGCCTCCCAAATCGGACACGTCTGTCAAGTGCATCGCGGACGTTTACATCAAAAAAAGCGATCGACGCAATTGAATGAAGCCGAAGAGAAAATGACAACGCAATGTTTTCATTAAACCTCGTGCCGGTCGCGAAAATAGTGGGCGATAATTAAAAATACCACGAAAAAAGGTGGGCGGGGGAGGTAATCGCGCCAATCACGCGCACTTTGTCAAGAAACTGCAAAAGTCTTCGGACTTTTTCACTGATTACACCGATTTGTACCGGTGGAATGAAATATTGAGTCACACTACAGGAAACCCAATCGCGGACTTTCTATAAATCGAGCAGACCATAAAAATTAGGCGCGTTTTTCACACTTAGGGTAAAATTTTGAGTACTAAATCGCAGGAAAAATTGCATCACGTCAACTCAGATCTCAATTATGGATTTTTTATGAATGAAACAGCGAATTATAACAATCTTTAGTTTTTTTATGAAATAATGTTTTCTTATAACCCCGTTTGGCACCCTTGAAATAAAATTTTGAGACCCCCTCCGTGATATATGCCCCCTTGTTCACACGTTGTGGTCAATCAATACTAGAAATCATAAAACACTGTAAGTGCAGTTATAGATTTGAATAAGGGGCATATACCACCGGGGGGGCTGGGGGTATGGGCATACCCCCAGCCAAAAGAGGGTAGTTTTATAAACTACATTTGGAGCAGTTCAAGTTTCTTTCCCAAACTAAATTTAACCGCAGGCATTCTACTTTATCGACAACAAACTCAAAATTAAAACTACGCTCTTTTGGCTGGGGGGTATCCCATACCCCCCAGAGGTGTATGCCCCTTATTCACAATCACAATGTATAGTATTATGCTAAATCAATAGTAGAACTCATAAACAGTGTTAAGTGTAGTTATAGACTTAAATAAGAGGCATACACCACCGGGGGGTCGGGGGGGTATGGAATACCCCCCAGCCAAAAGAGGGTGGTTTTATAAACTACATTTGGAGCAGTTCAAGTTTCTTTCCCAAATTAAATTTAACCGCAGACATTCCACTTTGTGGACGACAAACTCAAAATTAAAACTACGCTCTTTGCTGGGGGGTATTCCATACCCCCCAGACCCCCCGGTGGTATATGCCCCCTTATTCACAATAAAAATCGATAGCATTATGCTAGATCAATAGTAGAACTCAAACACTGTAAGTGCAGTTATTGATTTAAATAAGAGGCATACACCACCGGGGGGTCTGGGGGGTATGGAATACCCCCCTCCCGCCAAAAGAGGGTAGTTTTATAAACTACATTTGGAGCAGTTCAAGTTTTTTTCCCAAATTAAATTTAACCGCAGACATTCCACTTTGTGGACAACAAACTCAAAATTAAAACTACGCTCTTTGCTGGGGGGTATTCCATACCCCCCCAGACCCCCCGGTGATATATGCCCCCTTGTTCACAATAAAAATCGATAGCATTATGCTAGATCAATAGTAGAACTCAAACACTATAAGTGCAGTTATAGATTTAAATAAGAGGCATACACCACCGGGGGGTCGGGGGGGTATGGAATACCCCCCAGCAAAAAGAGGGTGGTTTTATAAACTACATTTGGAGCAGTTCAAGTTTCTTTCCCAAATTAAATTTAACCGCAGACATTCCACTTTGTGGACGACAAACTCAAAATTAAAACTACGCTCTTTGCTGGGGGGTATTCCATACCCCCCAGACCCCCCGGTGGTATATGCCCCCTTATTCACAATAAAAATCGATAGCATTATGCTAGATCAATAGTAGAACTCAAACACTGTAAGTGCAGTTATTGATTTAAATAAGAGGCATACACCACCGGGGGGTCTGGGGGGTATGGAATACCCCCCTCCCGCCAAAAGAGGGTAGTTTTATAAACTACATTTGGAGCAGTTCAAGTTTTTTTCCCAAATTAAATTTAACCGCAGACATTCCACTTTGTGGACAACAAACTCAAAATTAAAACTACGCTCTTTGCTGGGGGGTATTCCATACCCCCCCAGACCCCCCGGTGATATATGCCCCCTTGTTCACAATAAAAATCGATAGCATTATGCTAGATCAATAGTAGAACTCAAACACTATAAGTGCAGTTATAGATTTAAATAAGAGGCATACACCACCGGGGGGTCGGGGGGGTATGGAATACCCCCCAGCAAAAAGAGGGTGGTTTTATAAACTACATTTGGAGCAGTTCAAGTTTCTTTCCCAAATTAAATTTAACCGCAGACATTCCACTTTGTGGACGACAAACTCAAAATTAAAACTACGCTCTTTGCTGGGGGGTATTCCATACCCCCCAGACCCCCCGGTGGTATATGCCCCCTTATTCACAATAAAAATCGATAGCATTATGCTAGATCAATAGTAGAACTCAAACACTGTAAGTGCAGTTATTGATTTAAATAAGAGGCATACACCACCGGGGGGTCTGGGGGGTATGGAATACCCCCCAGCCAGAAGAGGGTAGTTTTATAAACTACATTTGGAGCAGTTAAGTTTCTTTCCCAAACTAAATTTAACCGCAGACATTCTACTTTATCGACAACAAACTCGTAAATAAAACTACGCTCTTTTGCCTGGGGGGTATTCCATACCCCCCAGACCCCCCGGTGGTGTATGCTCCTTATTCACAATAAAAATGTATAGCATTATGCTAAATCAATAGTAGAACTCGTAAACGGTGTAAGTGCAGTTATAGACTTAAATAAGAGGCATACACCACCGGGGGGTATGGAATACCCCCCAGCCAAAAGAGGGTGGTTTCATAAACTACATTTGGAACAGTTCAAGTTTCTTTCCCAAATTAAATTTAACCACAGACATTCCACTTTATCAACAAAATCTAAATTAAAACTACTCTCTTTTGGCTTGGGGGGGGGGGAGTATTTCATACCCCGGTGGTGTATGCTCCTTATTCACAATAAAAATGTATAGCATTATGCTAAATCAATAGTAGAACTCGTAAACGGTGTAAGTGCAGTTATAGACTTAAATAAGAGGCATACACCACCGGGGGGTATGGAATACCCCCCAGCCAAAAGAGGGTGGTTTCATAAACTACATTTGGAACAGTTCAAGTTTCTTTCCCAAATTAAATTTAACCACAGACATTCCACTTTATCAACAAAATCTAAATTAAAACTACTCTCTTTTGGCTTGGGGGGGGGGGAGTATTTCATACCCCCGGTGGTATATGCCTACTTATTCACAATAAAAATGTATAACATTGTGCTAAAGCAATAGTAGAACTCATAAACACTGTAAGTGCACTTATAGATTAAGAGGCATACACCACCGGGGGGTCCATACCCCCCAGCCAAAAGAGGCTAGTTTTATAAACTACATTTGGAGCAGTTCAAGTTTCTTTCCCAAACTAAATTTAACCGCAGACATTCCACTTTATCGACAACAAACTCATAAATAAAACTACGCTCTTTTGACTGGGGGGTTTTCCATTTAATCTCACTTTGGCCGGCCGGCTGGCTGGATAGCAGCAAACAGACGCTCGTAGAACAACACGCTTGCAAAAAAAAACGAGGAGTGTACGTGTACGTACCGCGGCCGTTTAACCAACAATTTTAGGGACGAGGCTACATCTGAGTACCTTCAATTTTTTGCTATCATCTTCTACAGTTTTGGTCCGATTATTTTCAAATGGGTGTCGTCGGAAAGATCTTGTAAAAGCGCGCACGGAATTTTGTTTTTTTCCTAGGGGCGAAATCAGCCACCTTTAGCAAGGCTCACTTCGAGGGGTAGTCCAAAAGTTTCTTAACACACGAATCGCGGTCTCTCTCGTGTCTGAAGCTATTGAGAAGTGCCCCAAAAATTGATTACTATTTTGTGGAATGTATTGGGGGAAGTGGGTACTGACAAAAGGCCTCGACGAGTTGGAAATTTTGCGTTTTCAAACACAGTGAAATTGATCTAAAAAATGAGACGCAGTACACACTTGCGAAATGCTACTTTTCGTCAGAAATTCGGCCCTGATGCCACAGAAGCGCATAAAAAATGCGAATTATTTAACTAAAACTAAATAGAGCGTCACTTCTGCTAGAAAATAGATTGGATCCATCACATGTAAGTATAACAAAGCAATAAAAATACAAAACCCGCTATCGAATGTTCACACAATATTATTATTCAGATTCTTAAAATAAACTTTTTTTTAATTTTCCCCCACGTCGTCGCCCATAGCAAAATCCGCAATCGCGCGAGCGGGACAACGTGCCGCACGTACCGGAAAAGCATTCGCAATGACAAAAGATATCGCGTGTTAAGTATTGCATGTGTAAAAACAGCGTAAACTTTTTTATAATTCTAACTGTGATAGGAATCGAACTTTTCACGAAAAGCTACACGGTTTATTACGTCCGTACAACGCAGGGCTTTTTTCGCGACTACAACCCTTACCAGCAGCCCTATTAATATTGCCTATCATTATCTGCATTTCGATCGGCTCCAATCGATAATTAGCATGTAGGTACATGGAACGTTGGGGGGGCGGAAAAGAAAAAAAAAACCCGATCGCTCTTTGACTTTCGATAGAAATTCATAATCGCGATTTCCTAATTGTCGAACTTCCTTCCTCTCCATTCAATGATGATTCAATTTATTCATGTAGTTTTATACATTGTGGCCAACCAGTTACATCCGCGATATTAAAATGTGCCACGACTTCCATTATTATCAATTTCGAACCCTCTGTAAAAATAGTATAAATAAATCGGTTTTGGATTAGATCCAAATGACTCATTTCGATCTTTTGTGTATTTAAGACAGTCATGAGCGTATCGTTTTTACAAGTTTCCAATGCCGAGACAATTTGGCAGTGAATACAATTTTCGAATGTTATTGAATATTGTCAAACAATACAATTTAAGCTGAAATACGATTATACTTATAAAGATGTGCACGATCTTGGCAAGCTTTCGCCGATTTCTGTTTGCCAGGTCAATACTTGCCGCATTATTTATGTTTTTCTTAAGTTATGGAGTTGATTACCGTGAATTAGCGACAACGGACGTTTAGTGTACGTTTAATGGACGTTCACGCTTATACGTCCATCGGACGTACACTGAACGGAAACACACAGTACACAATTGCACGTCTTGTAGAATTGCCTTGTTGTATTATTTGTGTATATAAACAACTGAAATACAAGAGTAATATTAAGAGAGTTCCTTCATTGGTCCTTACAGACAGTTTTTCCTCAGGCAAAGAAACGGGGATACCGAATTTCGGACGTCCCGAAAGTGACCTGACCGACGAAAGAATAGCACATATCCTAAACGAGGCGTCGCACATCCAAATGAAAACGCCGTGCGAGGACAGCCACAGCAACGAGGACTCGAAATCGCCGCACGGGCAGTGTTCCAGTCCGTTCTCGCGCGAACTGCAGAAGCAGAAGCTGAAGAAGTACGAAAACGACGATATTCCGCAGGAGAAGGTGGTGAAGATCTACCAGGAGGAGCTAGCGAAGCTGATGGGAAAACGGATCGAGGACTTTCGACGGGACCCGTTTCCTGGGTGAGTTTGTCGTCGCCGATTCGATGTGGCTTACTAAACTCATTTGCAGTATGTTTTTTCCGCACCTGTTTAGCGGGGCTTCCATGGATCGGACGCAGGAGGAGATCCGCATGGCGCTCGACGCTTACCATCGGGAGCTGGCGAAACTGAACCAGTGCCAGAACCCGGCCCAGATGACAAACTTGGGTCTTCTGGCCTTGCAGCAGCAGGCCCTCGTGCATCATCACAACCCTTCCGTAAACGGTGGCGCACAAGACTTATCTCTTCCAAAAGACAAACCAAAGATGGTCAACGGTATCGAAGACAAAGAAAAAGACTGTGACGATAGTGTAAAACATTCGGGTAGTGCGTTTAGTTTAGTTCGACCGAAAATTGAACCGGGAACGCAATCGCAAACGACGAGCTCGACCGCTTCTAGTCCCCTAAGTAACAGTATTTTACCTCCGGCAATGACCCCAACGGACGATTTTGCAACGTCGGCAGCTGCAAGTCCCCTGCAACGAATGGCTTCCATAACAAACTCCCTCATATCGCAACCTCCGAGTCACCAACACCACCCTACGAGTCAGCGACCACTAAAAGCAGTTCTTCCCCCGATCACCCAGCAACAGTTCGACATGTACAACAACCTGAACACGGAGGACATCGTCAAAAAGGTCAAGGAACAACTGAGCCAATACTCCATAAGCCAGCGGCTTTTCGGCGAAAACGTGCTCGGATTGTCGCAAGGGTCCGTCAGCGATCTTTTGGCGCGACCGAAACCGTGGCACATGCTCACACAGAAAGGACGCGAGCCCTTCATCCGCATGAAGATGTTCCTGGAGGACGACAACGCCGTGCACAAGCTAGTGGCGAGCCAGTACAAAATCGCCCCCGAGAAACTGATGCGAACCGGCGGCTACGGAGGCACACGTAAGTACCCCCAACTTTTTCTTCGACCCTTTCAGCTAACCCCTAAAATCAACAGCGTGCGGCACGCCTCTGGGCAAGCCGATGCCGCCGACGCAAAAGATGCTGAGCGAAGCGGCCGGTTTCCTGAACAAAATGCAAGAGAACCAGAACCTCCTACCGCCGTCCCTCCAGATGGTTTCGCCCCAAAGCCAAATGCCGCCAGGTCACGGGCAACCCATGCTGTTAACACCTCCGGGAATACCTCCGCAGCACACCATCAGCCTGCAACAGTCCGATCACCACATGAAGAAGTCGAGCCCGCATGGCATTCCACACTCGCCGCTATCCCAGCACCAGAATAATCTGCGCAACTTAAACCCGCACATATCACCGAGCGTCTACGAGATGGCGGCGCTAACGCAAGACCTGGACACGCAGGTGATTACCACCAAGATCAAGGAGGCGCTTTTGGCCAACAACATCGGACAAAAGGTACGGGCGCGCGTGATTGACGACGCCCGTAACTCAATGAGTCTGTTACAGATCTTCGGCGAGGCGGTCTTGGGGCTGTCGCAAGGATCGGTGAGTGAGCTTCTTTCCAAGCCGAAGCCTTGGCATATGCTGAGCATTAAAGGTCGGGAGCCGTTCATTCGCATGCAACTGTGGCTGAACGACACGCACAACATCGAGAGGCTGCAGCTGCTGAAGAACGAGCGTCGCGAGGCGAACAAGCGACGGCGGTCCACCGGGGCCGGCGCTCACGACAACAGTTCGGACACGTCCTCCAACGACACCTCCGAATTTTACCATTCCAATTCTCCTGGCCCCGGTCCACCATCCGCGAAGAAGCAGCGCGTTCTCTTCTCCGAGGAGCAGAAGGAGGCGCTACGATTGGCGTTCGCGCTCGATCCCTACCCGAACGTTGCCACAATCGAGTTCCTGGCGACCGAGTTGGGACTTTCAAGCAGGACCATAACGAACTGGTTCCACAATCATCGGATGCGCTTGAAACAGCAGGCGCCGCACGGAATGCCGACCGATGTTCCGCCCCGAGACCAAAGCGGCAATCAGGCGCCGTTCGATCCTGTCCAGTTTAGGCTGTTATTAAACCAAAGACTACTAGAGTTATCAAAGGAACGGATGGGCCTCAGCGGAATACCCCTCCCCTACCCGCCCTACCTCTCGACCAATCCGAACCTGGCCGCGCTCATCGGCCGAGGCCTGCTGCCCTCGGGCGACATGGACCTCTCCATGCTCGGCAGCGTCGTCAAGGAGCAGATGAGCGGGCTCGACCTGTCGATGACCTCCCTGAAGCGCGAGCCGGACGACTTCGAGGACGACGTCGAGAGCAACGTCGGATCGGAGGACTCGAACATGTCGGGCAGCCTGCACGGCGGCGACGTCAAGCACGAGCCCAAGGAGACGCCTCTGGCGCAGATCGCGCGATCGTCCAGGCGGAAACCGGCGGCGCCCCAGTGGGTCAACCCCGAGTGGCAGGACGAGAAGGAGAAGCAGTCGTCGGCGGGCAACGAGGTCATCATAAACGGCGTGTGCGTAATGCAGACGGAGGACTACGGCCGAAGGAGCTCGGAGGAGACGGTGCGCGTCGAACCCACCCCCGTTATGGATAGGTTCGAGGACGACCAAAGTGACACCTCCTCGGTCAATAACGACAATGATAATGACGCGCGCGTCGAACACTGTGAGAAAGACAACGAGGAGGATAATAAAAATAGTGAGTTCGATAACGTGCACGACGATAGTGACAAACCGATTAAACACGAAAACGAAGACGAACGGTGGGATTATTGAAAAAAAAGGTAAATCGAATTAGTCCGGTCCTGGTAATGAACAGTTTTTCTATCGGGAATGCATGTGGTTGTTTCCAGTTGTTGTATAACAAAAATTAAAAAGTGCAATCAGAACGTAAAAATTACCCCAAGTTATTTATTGTGATTTAAATAGTATATTATTCAGTTTTTTGTTAATATTAAGGTTTTGACCGTTTTTATTCTTTTTTTTTCCTATTTATGTAGTTATATATAAGACTGTTACCATATTATAAAAAAAGAAGTACTATTAGCCACTTATAATCAAAAAAATGGCTACTTGCAAAGCAAAATGTTTGAAACAATGTGATACTGCTTATTATTCTATCGTTTTATCCAATTACGTGCTTTCCAAATAAAAAAGGCCAAATTGCAATTAGTTTTTAAGATCTATTTCTCTGTCGTCGATTATTTCTGATATTTATGAATATATTTAGGTGTTTTATTAGCGTTTTTAGTTTTTTTGTACATAAACGGGTTAAGAAATCCGCTAGGATAAAAGTTAGTTTTTAAAGTTATTAGACCAGCAGGATTACCATTTATTGTTATATATTGCCATTAAAAAAATGAATATTTTTGTTATATTAATCAGTTTTTTTTCTTCTAGTCTTCAAAAGATGGGCATAATTTACTTTCTTAGCCGCTGTGGCCAGTAAGTCACACGAAATGTAATTTTTGATCTGTGTTCTTAGTAGATCTCATCGATTCGTATTAGGTAACAATTCATTTCTCAGATTGAAACGTATTAGATATTAAAATATACAAAGCATATCGATAGGCGTATGAACAAATTTTGTAAAATTACTAATCCACCCATACCAAAAGATTTGTTTTTTTTTATATAATGTACGGTAGCACAAATCATCCAAAAAAAGAATCTTTAATATAGTGCAATATTTTAACATTACAACTTTATAATTCGTATATTTTTGGCAATATGTGAAAAGTATGAAATTAATGTAATTCTTCCATTTGCGTCATATTCAATGTACACACATTGCAATATAAAAAACATGATACGTAAACTCTTACTGTGGGAGTTATTAGAAAATATGTATAGATGCACATTTTTAAAAATTACATGTAGCATTACTTAGTCAGGTTTTATTTGTTGTAGACAAAAGTGTTTATATTCTTTTAAAAATGGAGTAAAGCGAACTTTCGAAACGCGAGCATTGTCACTTTCGAAAGCTCGCTTTACGGTTATTATTGTATAGTTTTATAAAATAGTGTCGGAATATTTTACTTAGATCATAGATCTGATCATTTCACAGTTGTAAATATTTATAATCATATCATTATCTCCTTTTAAAGTTTCTAAATTAAATATTCTCTGTATTTAAAATATAATGTGTCCCATTTAATCGCATCATCAGTCATCGATCACTGTACAACAGAAGGCAAAAAGTGAAACGTTCCAAAAATTGCCCACGACGAAAAATAAACAAATTAAAAAGTGAGTACATGTTTAATTGAAGCGCGAGATGAAGCGGCGCATTTATTCTATAGAAGGTAAGTATACCGATACAAAACCTGGCCGAGTCAGTTCACGCCTCCCCCTCCTGAACCTCTCATTCGGTAAGTTAAAAAAAATAAAGAGCCTTCCAATCACTTGAGAAGACGGCCGACTTGCGGTTGCTTAGTCGCCTCTTACGACACGCAGTGCCCTCTGCGGTAGGAATATTCTGTTCCGCGTCTACAGGCCAATTACAAGACAAAAAAAGAACTGAAAAGCTACACCTACTATCGCCCGCGGTAAAAGACGAAACGTGTTCGGATAATAAGAATGCGATGCGCATTTTGCAAAGATCTTGGTCACTTAAAAGAAGAGTGTAAGAAACTTAAGGGCTAGGAGCAACAAACATGCACCAAAGAGTCAGAGACCGGTGGATTTGCAGTAAACTGGAGCTGCCAAACCTAAAATTGTATGCTATGGATATGTTGCGCACCAGAGGCAGTTAGGCTAAAAGTGATTTATTAATATTTTGTAGAAAAAGTGCTAATTATTGTTCCAAGAGCGTTTTCCGAACACACATCAATTGATAAACGCAAGGTCAACACCTACCGGGCAGTTTATATAAAGAAGCTGGAAATTTCCTCAGTTTACGCGCACGTTAACGATGTATTATGACGTCATCATTAAGTATGTTTACATAGAATCATGCAATCAATGCCAGAGAATACGTATGTAGGCAGCCATACAGGCAGTGCTGCATTGACCAAGTGGAAAAAAAATGTTTCGGTACTCATTTTCAAAAACAAACAATCTCTCACTAAATCGTCCGACGTCCAAGGTCAAATACTCAATTAAGACTTCCAAAAGTACACCTATCGCTTTTACAAAATTGTCCTTCCTATATAGGCATCAAAATCTTCAATCATCTGCCTGACTACATAACATCTAAGCAATCATTAACCAAATTAAACGCAGCCTGAAATTATGGTTAAAATCACAGGAATTTTACCCATTAAAAGAGTTCCATAGCTTTCATGATATACGTCTTTCGCTATAAAAACCGATGCACGTCATTGATTTATGAATCAATTTCAGACAAGTTTTCTATAGATTTCGCACACTTGTTTTTTTTGTACATGTTGCAGTGTTGCAGCATATGTCTGAAATTGATACACAAATCAATGACGTGCAACGGTTTCTATAGCGAAAGACGTATACCAATCCTTAGTTCACATTTCATCATCCATATTATTTCTATTTCTATTCACATAATTAAGAAGGAAAAAAAATTATTATTTTTTAGTGACTGTATAAACCCTCTATTTTCTTCCCGACACCTGTAACAGGTTTCTTCTGTTTATTTTATAATTTTATTTATACTGTTAGTTTATTGGGTTGTACAGAAGTAGGGAATAAATCATTATTATTATTATTTGCAACAAGATGGACAAAAAAATCATTTCAATTGTTTTCGTAATAACAACGTCCGCAAATTTGTATTTAGTCCATAACTTTTGATTGAGAGGTCTGATCGAAAAAGTACGAATCGTTTTGGATTCTACGCACCAAAATTAGTGAGAAAAAGTGTTTTGCCGAGAAATTTTGGAGCAGTCGATTTTTGGTAAAAAAGGAAGGTAAATAACTGCCTTTTTTGAGGCCGGAAAAAAAATTTTCCGAGATCGACGGAAAAAATCAATTTTTCTGTATGAGTTTGTCCGTAGAAATCCATAATTTCAAAACAGTTCCAAATTTGGACTATAGAATCAAAAGTACAGCCCTCTTGAACTTATATATATATATTATATAAATTATCGCACAGTACCAGGCGATATTAGGGAAACCTTCTTTGGGAGAAAAACCCTCACATAGGTCACACAAATACACGAACTAAATTAACAAAGACAACAAAAGCAAAAGAAAATCCAGAAGACATTTCAAATTGTGTAATAATAAAAATTAGATTGCGAGTTCCAGATGTAACTGCATCAATGGCTCGTTGCCTCATGTCCAAATAATTTTCTCGCCAATGTGTCGGTTATGTGTGCAAATTCCTCATATATTTTCGACGGGATCGAAAACGCAATGCTAGGGAGGCTATCGTAGTACCGCATGTCCATATTCTAATGCCATCTCATCAGTAGCATACCGTTTTGAAGGTTTAATTCTGAAATAATAAATGTTTAGTCTCGAAACTAAAAGTGGTATTACTATGCTGCACGGAATTTAAACAAACCTTGCAATAATCTCCAGCAATTCCACTATAAATAATGGAAACTCAACATTTTTATGCAGTAGCCATGTCTGTAGTTGTGCTTTATTATTCCAGGAAGAATTAGGCAAGTTTTCCAGAAGGCTACTGTCAGCATATTTTTTACATACGCATCTAAAAAATAGACTCTTGATACTGCAATATTGAGTAACTCCAGTTCAGAATCGCTGCTTGTGTGAAACCATCAACATCGCTAACGGGTTTCTACATTACCTACCTTGCTTTTTTAGGACTTACCCGATTTAGAACTAACGAATTTTTTTACCGGATAAGGTAGCAAAACGTGATAAAATAATGGAAACAGTAGCCAAAGGCAAATATGTCGCGATGAAAATGTAAACTACGACAATTTCGATTGACAGGTAACCTGAAAACAAAAAAAAACCTTTTCCTTAAAGGTTTTTGATTTTATTTTATATTATATACACTCATAAACATGTACTTCCAACGTTTACCGTGATTTATTTATTTTGTTAATACGTTGGCATTACAATATTCCCCAAAAACCGAATCACAAGTTACATTGTTTATATTGTTTACATGTAACCTATAACGTTTGCATCATAAAGTATTACCAGCATTTATTGATTTGAGGATATAATTCAGGTATTTAAAAACATACTTTTATTCAAATAAGTACATTATAACAATGATCATAGCGAAAGGACGGAAAATGTAATACAAAAGCATTAAGTAAGTACGTACATGGAAATATTTGCCAACAATGGCACTCAATTACATTGACGAGAAGTCACTTTGTACTAGTTTAATCGAAAGCTGCTACATAAATATATGCACTTCTCGACAACACCTACTGATTATTGGCCCCCATTTACCTTAAGATTTAGGAATAAACTATTTACAAACATAACAGCGTTAGACAATGTAAAAAAAATCATAAATAATAGGCAGTGAATCCTAACACTTGGGAGGCTGCCATGCGCAAATTTAAAAAAAAACATGGTACAAATTCAGACTTGCTAAATGGCCCTCGATCAACGTTTTAAAATGCAACTGGGACCGGGGTAGAGTAACTTATACATAGTGATTGGGTAACGTAACCTTTACAAAGACAATTCGAGCACTCAAAGCCCATTGGTTAGTGTAAATATCACAATTAATTTATAGTAAATACGGACGTGTCGCCGCTAGAGCTGCGTTGTAATGACGGATTTGCGGATGATCGTCTCGCTTGAGGTGACCGGGGACGAGACGACCTCGGGGGAGACGAGCCAAGGCGATAGCTTACTCAGCGATGGCAGCGGGCTGGAAGTTTTCGTCATACTCTCCTACAAATACACAGTTAACGAGAGTTCCAAACGAAATCCCGCCGTCGTATTTAAAAGATTACAGTAGTGCTCGTTTTCCCAACCAAATTGATGCATAAAACAGTTTTGAATGCGCGCTATCCTGATTTTGGTAAGAAAACTCCACTAGCGGTAACTGTAACATTTTAAATACAACAATTCCGCGAAGCTCAAGCGTCGATAACCCCCCAAGCGAACGACCCACCTGCCTGATCGGAGATCCGTCGACTTCACTGTGCGCCATCTTCTCGGCGTCCTCATTCCTAAAGGGGTTGCTGGAAAGAAACGGATTGGAAGAGTGGAACGGGTTAAAATTACTGTGGTTCTCGATAATAAAATTAATAAAAGGGTTGGAATCGGTCGGCGACTTTTTGTCGTCTAACGAGTTGAAATTGGAATCGGTGGCGTCCCGCTCGAGGCTGATCAAGCTTAGCGGACTCTTTTTCGGTTCGGGCGTGCCCAGGATGCGCTTCTCCAGTTTGCCCTCGTCGGAATTGCTAAAGAACGTCACCGTAACGGGGGTGGCGCAACGAGTCTGACTTTTAACGTCGTGCGTTTCGCCCTTGGTGAGGTTCTCAGTCGGGCCGGTCACCGATAGAGTCAACTTGTCGCCGCCCTGTGATGGGTAAGGGAAGGGGAGGGAGAAATAAAACGTAACGTTATAAAAATAATGCGACACGAGCCAACGAAACAAAAAGCGACAAAAAGATACGTACAACGGCAACAAAAGTGGCGGCGTTAAGTGAGTTTAGGTTAGCTTCGTCGTTTTGCGCGGCGGAGACGAACATCTGGTTGGTCAGTTTGGAAGCGTTAAGTTCCTCTTCGGCCTTAGCTGTAACCCAAGCGTGCTAACAGAGAAACGCGTCGTCAGTGATACGCACCTTTCAGTATGTTACACTTTAAGTTGGGCGGTATCGGACGAGAGGAATTGCCCGAAGGTTTGCTAATGTTGTTAGGAATCTCGGCGGGTAAGGGTTTAGCGTCAGCGTCTACGAAATCTACTTACACGTGTGAGAGAGACGAAAGCACCTACGTACCATCTTTGTTCACATTGCTGACCGCCTCGTTAGGATCGTCCTTCTGAAAACCGCTCAGCGTTTCCTTCGCCAAGCTCTTCAGTAGGTAATCGAGCTGACTGTCGGCGAGCGAAGCGGTTGGACTAATGGAAGGCGGTCCCAGTGTTGGCGATATCGGTTTGTTCTTCTTCAGTGTTCCATTTTTGCTGGGGGGCGATAAAATGGGACTACAAGGGGGTCAAAATTGTACTCCTCGAGAATTGCGAATGGGTAACAGACCTGTAAGTTGAGCTGCCGCCGATTGACGCTTTACCAAAGGAACCTTTGCCGACGCTTTCCGATTCAGATCCTGGAAAGAAATCCAGTTCTACAATTTAACTGTGCTCAACCCCATTCCGCCCTATCACCACATAGTTCCCACTAACCGCGTCCATCTCCTTCTACCCTCTGTCGGGTCCGTTAACTTGGCCCCCCCACTGAGAGATTTCATAGTCGTATTATTTTGAAATGAATGCGCTCGTTATGCGCTCCTATGCGCCACCGATAATAACTCTTGCGCCATTATCGTTTTTTAGAAATCCGAAAAAAACATTTGGGGGGGCCAAGTGAACGTAGCCCCCACCCCAGTACGTATTTTGTCCCTTGTAACTAGGTCACCTGATACATTTGGTTATGCGCTCAATTGCGCCACTTGAATTAAAGCTAGCGCCATTACGGTTAAGCCGTGACAAATTTTCAGAAAGTGGGGGGGGCCAACTTAACGTTTTTAAAAGTTACTTTTTTTTTACATCTTTTCATACGAAATTGTACTCTCAGGTATGCGCTGAAATGCGCCGTAAAAAGATATCTTTGCGCCATTATTGTTTTTTGGTTATCCTTAAATATATTTGGGGGGGCCAAGTGAACGGAATCCCCCATAACGCATTTTGCTACCGGTATTTGTGCCACTTGATACATCTGGTTATGAGCTTAATTGCGCCACTTGAATTAAAACTAGCGCCAATACGGTTAAGCCATAAAAAATTTTTAAAAAGTGGAGGGTCTAACTTAGCGTTTTCAAAAGTTATTTCCGGAAGTGCGTCCATTTTGAAAATATTTTACATCGTTTCGGCCTTCGGAGTAACTCCTAAATACAAATTTTTAAAAACCTACCTATTTTACTTTCTCAGAATCGTTTAACTAAAGCTCCCAAAAAAACACCCTGTATAGTATATTACGGTGCATTTTAGCGCATGATGAAAGGTACGATGTAGTAGAAAAAACATGTTAAAAAACGTAACTTTTGAAAACGTTAAGTTAGCCCCCTCCACTTTTTAAAAATTTTTTATGGCTTAACCGTAATGGCGCTAGCTTTAATTCAAGTGGCGCAATTGAGCGCATAACCAAATGTATCAGGTGACCTAGTTACAAGGGACAAAAGGCGCATTCATTTCAAAATAATACGATTATCAAATCTCTCAGTGGGGGGGCCAAGTTAACGGACCCCGAATTGAGCCATTTAACCCAGTTTGGAACCCATTTTTGAGCTCCAACTGTAAAAAAAACCTTTATTCGTCCATAGTGGTGTACAACTTGCACCGGCTCACTTTCAATTGACTACTTCACTTCTGTTGACTTTTTCAAAAATCACTTTTTTGATATACAGATTTAAAAACTGGGCTTATTCGCCATATTGTGCCGCTGGAGAAAATTCTTGAGTTGGAAAATAAAAAATATCGAAAAACCTGGGTAGTTAGACCGCTTTGCCTTTCTTTAAAACAAAATTCTATTGGCGCAAGTTATGCGCTATTTTGTAGAAAATATTGTACTACTTTCGCACAGCACCAATTTTTTGATTGGTAAGCAAAAAGTGCAAGTTATTTGCTTTTGGAGTTAAATTATGCATCTTCAGGAAACATTAAACAAATTCCGAAATTTTTATTTATACAGTGTGTTTCAAATTTTTATGTAATATTAAGAGATTTTGACGTCCGTAGAAGCTAAAGCGAAAATTAAACTAGTTACGTTGCTTTGGGAATTACGTTTTTAAGATGGCTCCCATATTTCTATGTATACAGTGTGTTTAATCTATTTTGTATGTATAGTATGATACGCAATTCTTGGAAATCCATAGAAGCTAAAGCCAATACTAAATTTTGCTTTTTATCTGGATGAATCGAGCGTGGGAATTAGCCCTTTTACTGAGCTTTTACTAAATTTTTTACTATACAGTGTGTTTAAAGTGTGGAATATGATATGCAATTTTGAGAAATTTGGACATCCTGTATCCGTAACACCTAAAAGCTATGTCGGCCACTGGGGTTAGTGTTTCAAATTTGCTTATCTCTACAGGATATTATGCAAGTTTTAAAAAGTGGACATCCAGTAACAATAATCAATATTACAACGATCAAAAGTCGAAGTAATTAAACAGCCAATTGTTTTCTTGTTATTACAGATCCAAACAAAGGACCCCAACGACTATGTCGACATCGAGATGGTGCCAAAAACACAAGGTTCACTAGTAACAGTGTAAGTAAACGTAATTTCGACTCCCAACCACCAAAAATTATCATTTTATCATTCTTCTGATGACTATTATCAAGATCACCTATGCCATGGTGTGCTCTGGTAATGTTAATATAAATGCAATTAGGCGCATCAAATTGGAATGTTATCGAAACATATATTTATTTATTCGCTATATTGACCGATGAACAATTTGTGTACTTGGCCTTTCACACAGCGATAAAGACGCGCTGACTTAAAATCGTCCACTATTTCATCATCCAAAAATTGTGGCTTTTCTTTGTAGATTCGCGATATGGAACACGATAATGGGAACGTCGCTATTAGCCATGCCGTGGGGAATGGAAAGGGCCGGCCTCTTTCCGGGAATTTTGGTCAATATCGTCGTCGCCGCCCTTTGCCTCTACACCTGCTATCTAATTTTGCGCATTAACGAGGACCACGGTAAATTCCCAACGATTTGGATATTGGGTTAACGCGTAATTTCCAGGCGTCAATGGTCACCAGAACGAAGTGAGCGATCTCGCTCGAATTTTGCTGGGGAAGTGGGCCGAGTTCATTGCGAGGATCTTCTCGCTGATCGTCCTGATTGGTTCCAACATAGTGTACTGGGTGCTGATGTCAAACTTTTTGTACCACTCTGTACGTGTTCTATACGGTAGGTCACACAGGGATAGTGGGCCAAAGCTAACGCTCGCGGTGTAGGTTACCTCTTGTCAATTAACGGGCTGCCAACCAACTCAACTGTGATATGTCCAAAGAATTCGAGCAATGTGACAGTGGTGGACCCTTTGGACAGCAAAGCGGAGGGTTTCGATCGAATATGGGACATCTACAGTACCACCCCCGTGATTCTGGCAGTGCTCATGTTTCCACTGCTAAATTTCAAAAGCCCCACCTTTTTTACCAAGTTTAATAGTTTAGGTAAGGGTTTCTGAGCTAACCCACGCGTTCTACAACCTTCGCCTTAGGTACCCTAAGCGTAATGTACCTCTTAATATTCGTCGCGGTCAAATCGAGCACGTGGGGCATCAACATGGACAGTTGGGTGATCGAGTTCAACATCAAATCCACCTTCTGCGCACTGAGTGGAATGCTATCTCTAAGCTACTTCATACACAACATCATCATTTCCATTATGCGAAGCAACAGAAATCCGAAGAACAACGTAAGCGGCCCCCAAGAACGTCCACCTCAGCCTTAACTTTTGTTTTCAGAATAGAGACCTGAGCATCGCCTTCCTCTTGGTCACCTTCACCTACATGTTCATCGGTGTCGTCTTCTACATCTGCTTCCCGCTGGCGAAGGATTGCATTGAAGACGTGAGTAACCGCCGGCGTCCTCTCGGATAATCTCCCGTTTCCTTGCAGAACATCCTTAACAACTTCGAGAAGTTCGACACCATGACGATTGTGGCACGTCTACTCCTGCTCTTCCAACTGTTCACCGTGTTTCCCTTAATCTCCTTCATGCTCAGAACGGATGTCTTCAAGAACATTAACTTGTACACGAACAACCTCGCCTACGAGTTCTCCTACCGGAAGGTCGTCGCGGTGAATATTGTCATTGTGACCATTTGCATCCTGTTCGCCTGTTTCCTACCCAAAATTGGCACGCTGATACGGTAAGTCATCGCACTGCACACCGAAGTGGTTGTCCAAGACCGACTTACAGGTACACCGGCGCGTTGAGCGGCTTGGTCTACATATTCTTCCTCCCGAGTCTGATGAAGATAGCATCACTGATGAAGAAAGAGAAGCTCACGTTCGTTAAGCTAACGGTTTACGTTTTAATTGTGATTTTTGGATTTTTGAACCTTATTTCACAATTCTTTATTATTGACAAGTGATCCTTTCCCAAGTCTTAGTATAGTTTTTGTATTATTTATTTTAAATTATTATTAAGGGCAATTGTATAATAAACGAATCATGGAGCGCTTCACTCTAATACCGTGGAAAGCTGTCCTCTTTCCGTTCTTCCTCATCTACCTCTGCAGGAGCAGAAGCGAAACGAGACACGAACAGCAGAACAATAAGGCAATCCAAGAGCGAAAGAGAGAGAAGGAAGAAAACGGAAGAGAAACTGAGAAAATCAGAAGAGAAACTGAAAAGCAGTGTAAGAGGGCAGACAAGTAAAAGAACAAATTAGCAGAAAGAGCAGAACATTTTCTGTGGAGTGGTAGAGGAAAGCATAAGAGAAAGCAGCGGAAACGGCAAACGAAAATCAGAGGGGGGGTACCTGAAGGGCAGAACAAGTATAATCGGTGAAATGAAAACATAGCAAAACATCAACCAGAGGGCTAAGGAGCTCCAAAGAGTACAGGAAAAGCGCCATGTGAACAGTAGAGGAGGAGAGGGAAGCGCACAGCACAGAAAGAGACAAAATAGAGTGCTGAGATGAGTAGAAAATAGTCTATTAAAGGGGGCTGGGAAAAATAGAAGCTTAGTGGAGGAACAGAATAATTGCAGTGGAGGGGTAGCAAGCAAAAAACAGCTGACTGTTTCCGAGATGTGGTGGATGGAGGGAAAGAATAAATATCGCAGGCGAACAATTGAAGGAAGAAAGAGGAAGGGAAGATAACGAGAGGGACCGAAACACATAACCCCAAAACAATTATTAGATGAGAAGCAGAGAAAAAACGGAGATAATCGGAGGAGGAAATAAGCAAAATCTAAAGTCGCAAGGAAACCTTGGAGAAGCAGAAGAGGAGAAGAAATAGAAAGTACAAAAAAATCAAAATAAGAGCATAAAAGAAGTGAAAAGAAGAGGAGTGCGAAAAAAATAAAAGAAAAACAAAAATGCAAAAAAATCAGGATAGACGGAAAAAGAATGGAAAAAAGGAACCAAGGGAGGAGTCAAAAGGCGAGGAGAGAAGCAGAAGAAAAGTAAAGGCACGGGGACGCAAGGAAGCAGTACAAATTAATTAGTGTTCAAGGAAAAGAAGAGCGACAAACGAACAGGGGAGGGAAGATGATAAAAAAAAGCAGAGGCAAGGATACTAGAAAACCAATATAAAAAGAGAGGAAAGTCGAATTGAGAATTGAGGAAAAGAGGAAGTAGAACATCAATGAATGGAGGCGGAAAGGGTCAAAGTAGGGACACGGGAATTGAAAAAGAAAAGCAGATTAAAAGCAGAAAGTGACCGAAGGACCAAGGGGGAAGGAAATCAGAAGAACAACGTGAAAAAAAGGAATATGCAGAAAAAGAACAAAGGAAAGGAAGTGAGAAGAACGGATGACGAGAAAATCAGGAGCGAAGGAAAAGAAATGGAACAAAAAGATGAAACGAACATGGTCAAAAATGGGGCAAACTGGGGAAGGACATGAACAGCAGGCGATAGGGGTAGAAAAGTTAAAAAGGAGGTGCAGAGAAGCCGAAGTTGCGCAAGCGACTAGAGACGAGACACAAAAATAGGCGCCAAGGAAACTCGGAGGCATGAAGAACGCTCAAACAACTTTTGGGAGAGGCGCGAAAGAAGTAGACTAGAAGTAGGTGTTAAAAAGGCTTGGAGGAAGAACAATCGTTGGAGGGTGAAGAGGAAAAGACTCGACAGAATCCCAAAAGAGACGTGGGAAACTATAGAATAAGGAAGATCGAAGGAGGTGTGACGAAGACTCGAAAGATCGAGAGGTGATGAAGGAAGGTCGAAAGAGGCGAGAAGATGCTTCAGGGCGATAAAAGATCGAAGAAGATGAAAAGAATTCTTGAATGAAGCATAGAGGAAGGCTCGAAGGAAGCATGAAAAAATCTCCAAGGAAGAGTGAGAAAACACGGAAAGTTGTGACTAAAAAAGGACGCGAATAGGGCTTCAAGAAAACTTGAAGGATGCACTAATGAGGCTCGAAAGTCCAAGGTAGTGTGCTGAAGGGCCGATTTAGGTGTGAAGAAGGAATAGCGAAAAACAGCTCGAAGGAGGAAAGAAGAAAGCTATAAAGAAATTTGAAAGCGTGAAGAAATTTCGCAAGAAGTACTAAAGAAGGAGTCCTGAAAAGTTTGGTAAATAATCTGAGTCAAACAAAACAGTGCGAAGAAGGATCAGTGCAAGGGAGGAGATAGCGCAAAGCAAATTCAAAGGAGCTAAGAGAAATGTTCGAAGGGGGCGTGAAGAAATTTTGAGAGAGGTGTGAAGAGGAAGTTGATCGAAAAAGAGTGGAAGGAAGTTTGAAGGAATGTGGAAGGATATGTGAAGCAGGATCAAAGTAGGCGTAAAGAAGGCGCGAAGAAAGAGCAGAGGGAAGCGAGAGGGAGACTTGAAGGAAACTCGAAGGAAGAGTGAACAAGTGCAGGAGGGGACGTGGAAAGGGCTTGAAAGAAGCGTGAATAAACCTTAAAGGAAAAGTGAGGAAGGCTAGGGGAAGACCGAAGAAGTACCACAGGAGAAAAAATAATCGAAAAGCGAGAAAGGGAATGGCATAAGTCAAGCCTATAGAAAACCGGGGGATAGGCTGAGAAGGTGGTAGAGTAGCAAAAGAACGAGAAACAAGAAGAAATCACATCAGGAAACCGAATAATAGGCAAAGAAAAGCAAAAGAAGTGCAGGGAAATGACGTAATTTGCAGGGAAAGCTTGAGGAAGGACACGGAAGGGGACGCAGAAGGAGAGTAAGCATAAAATAAGAGCAGAAAAGAAATAAAAGAGTACAAAGAAAATCAGAAGGCGAAAAAAAATCAGGACAGAGAAGAACAAATAGAAACAAGAAAGGCATCAAAAAGTAAGGAAAAAGGAGAAGAAGGGGTAAGGCATGTAGTAGCAAGGGAGCAGTGAAAATAAAGCAATTTTAAAGCAAAAGAAGTGCAAGGAGAGAAAATGAGAATAAAAAATAAAGAAAAAGAAACGAGGATGGGAAAGAGAGGGCGGGACAAATTGGGCGACAAGATCAAAGGATCGAGGAGAACATAAAAAAACAGTTGCGGTAGCAGAGGTACAGTGGTGAAAGAACAGACTAAAAGAGAAAGAAACCAAAGGAGCAAGGGAAAAGTGAAGCAGAGGAACAACGGGAGAAGAAGGAAATGTAGAAAAAAAAAGTTAGTAACGAAAGGGAGAGAAGACAGAGATGGAACAAATGTGAAAAGGATGAAACGAACCTGATCAAAAATGGGGCAAAAGTAATAGTAGGGAAGGACATGAACAGCGTGACTAAGGAGCGGAGAATTAGCAAGCGAACAGAGAAGGAAAATAAAGAGGCACAAAGGTTTCAAAAGCAGAGGAAGTGAGAAAGAGTGTGTGAAACTTGGGAGCAAAGGAGAGAAAAGGCTAAGTAACTGAAAAGGCCGAACGGATCCCGGAGATCGACAGAGCAAAGTAAAGGAAGGTCAAAGGTAACGAATAAGCAAAGAACAAACTAGCAGAAAAAGAATTGCAAAGCAAATCATACAAAAGCAGTGCAGCGCAGTATCGCAAACGAGTGGAGCAGAAGAATAGTAGGGAGAGTAGACTAGGCAAAGACGGCAAGGGTTGGTGAGGGAGGGACATAGGAGAGTATAGAACAAAAATAATAAAAGGAGAAAAAATAGGAAGGACCGAAGAAGAATGGATGGAAGGCAAAGGAAAAATTCGAAACGAGACAAGGAAGCGAGCTCAAGGGGGGACGGGTAAGCAAGGTAGAAGTGAAGAACAGAGGAAGAACTGAGTGAGAATAAGCATAAGGTCAGCAGTGAAGGAGAAGATGAACGAGAGAGCAAAGTAGCAGACAGCAGAAGAAGCGCAAAGTCAAGTCAAAGTCAAGTGGTCAAGGAGCGAAGCAGAAATGAGAAGAAGTAGAAGCACAGGAAGTGCGCCAGAATTCAAAGGAGGGACAGAGGAAGAACGGAGGAACGGGTGGAGGAGTGTATCAAAATGGAGGAAAAGGCTGGGAAGGCGGCAGGGCAGCAAAAGAGAGAGAAACACAGAAAAAAATCAATCCAAGAAAAACGTAATGGATTTGAAGGACTCGGTGGAAATAAAGAACAGAAGAAGAGCAACGGAGGGGGTTACAGTTTTATATTGACAGTGTACTTTGCATATTCTCCACGCTTTCGTCCGGTTTTCGATAGGCGCAGACTCTTAATTTCTAGAGAATAATCAATTTATTTTAATATCCGCGATATCTCGGCAAGCTTAAAATAGCCATTTGCAGCCGCATGCATAAGTTATTTATAAGAACTGGCCGAAACCCAAGTAATGGCAATCGCGAAAAGGTCGCGAACCCGGGATTCGCTGTACTACAAATGTAGAACGATCGATGAATGCCAAGTTTATCGTCCGGCCCAGTTTCGAATGTGCTCTTTCAATCTAAAAATGAGCCGGTGACAGGTGTCGATTGTGCCGAGATTTTTCCACGACTGGCAAAGAGGTGAGTTTTTTCTCTTTCTGTTAGTCGAAGAGGAAACTGTAACTCACTCGCTGGCGATATAGATGTCGCTTTCTTGGGTGCCTCGTTCTAGTAGCTCGCGTGCAATGTTTGCAGTCGGCACCACGGACGCCTTTGATCTCTTAAATCTAAACGTTTTTGCCTACATTCTTGAACTTGCGTGTCAAGTGCAAAATAATGAGAGCTAATTGAACACGCGCCAGTCATTAGCCAAAATGTTTGTAATTAATTCCTTTGTTTTTTTGCACAGTAATTGGGAATTGCGTGATTAGCGGAGTACAATACACAAAACGGGTACAGATTTATAAAAATGCCATGATTAATTATGTATTATGATTTTTGCAAAACGTGAAAAATCTGGAAAAAGCAAGAATTCCAAGGATCTCCTTCTGAAGAATTTGAGTGATTGGTTGGAAAAGGTCGGAAAGTTAATCTTATGGAGACACTAAGCCCAAAGTATGCGCCGTTTTTGACCCTTGAAATAATAGTTTGTGTTCCAGGCGCAAACAATTTTAGTAAAAGTTTCGATTTTTTTATCTTTATCTGAGCCCAAATTATGCGCCGTTTTTAGTCCTTTAAATAATAGTTTGTGTTCTCGGCGCAAAGAAATTATAGTAAATGTTGCAATTTTAGAAACAAAGCCTATAAAATTGTTCTTATAGAGACCTAATCCTGAATTATGCGCGGCATTGTGCCCTTGAAAAACCCACGGTTTGTGCTCCAGGCCCAAAAAACTATAGAAAAAATTGAGATTTCACAAACAATGATAATAACATTGTTCTTATGAAAAATGCCATGAGAGCCATGCGCCATTTTGGACCATTGAAATAATAGTTTGTCTTCCAGGCCGAACAAATTATAGCAAAAGTTGCAATTCTACAATCAATGATCATCAAGTTTCCCTTATGGCGACAGAAATACAAATTATGCGCTGCTTTGGACCATTAAAACAAGTTTGTGTTCCAGGCGCAAAAGAATATAGCAAAAATTGCGATTTTTGGTATAAACTGATTCTTATGGAGACACTAATCTCAAATTATGCGCCGTTTTTGACTTTTGAAATAGAAATAAATAAATAAAGACCTTATTATTAGTTCGTCTTTTAAGAGCAAAAAGTTATATGAAAAGCTTCAATTCTACAATCAATAACCATAACATTGCCCTTATGGAGACATTAATACAAAATATGCGCCCTTTTGGACCCTTAAGATAAGTTGCTGTTATAGTAAAAGTTTAAATTTTCGTTATAGAATTGTTCCGATGAAGACACTAATCTCAAATTATGCGCCGATTTGTGTCCTTCAAAAAATAATAGTTTGTGTTCCAGGTGCAAAAGGCTATTGCGATTTTGGATATAAAATTATTGTTATGGAGACACTAATCTCAAATTATGGGCCGTTTTTGACCATAACATTGTCTTTATGGAGACAGCAATATAAGATATGCGCCGTTTTGGACCCTTAAGATAAGTTTGTGTTCCTGGCGCAAAAAATTATAGTAAAAGTTAATATTCTCATTATAAAATTGTTTCGATGAAGACACTAATCTCAAATTATGCGCCGCTTTGTGCCCTTCAAAAAATAATAGTTTGTGCTCCTGGTGCAGAAAATATAGCAAGAATTGCGATTTTGGGTACAAAATTATTCTTATAGAGACACTAATCTTAAATTATGCGCCGTTTTTGAGTTTTAGAAATAGTAGTTCGTCTTTTAAGGACAAAAAGTTATATGAAAAGATGCAATTCTACAAACAATGACCATAACATTGTCTTTATGGAGACAATAATTCAATATATGCGCCGTTTTGGACCCTTAAGATAAGTTGGTGTTCCGGGCGCAAAAAATTATAGTAAAAGTTTAAATTTTCGTTATAAAATTGTTCTGATGAAAACACTAATCTCAAATTATGCGCCGATTTGTGTCCTTCAAAAAATAATAGTTTATGTTCCAGGTGCAAAAGACTATTGCGATTTTGGATATAAAATTATTGTTATGGAGACACTAATCTCAAATTATGCGCCCTTTTTGACTTTTGAAATAGTAGTTCGTCTTTTAAGCGCAAAAAGTTATATCAAAAGTTGCAATTCTACAAACAATGACCATAACATTGTCCTTATGGAGACAGCAATACAAGATATGCGCCGTTTTGGACCCTTAAGATAAGTTTGTTCCGGGCGCAAAAAATTATAGTAAAAGTTGAAATTTTCGTTATAAAATTGTTCCAGTGAAGACACTAATTTCAAATTATGCGCCGTTTTGTGCCCTTCAAAAAATGATAATTTGTGCTCCGGGTGCAGAAGAATATAGCAAAAATTTCGATTTTGGGAAAAAACTTATTCTTATAGAGACACCAATCTCAAAATATGCGCCGTTTTTGACTTTTGAAGTAGTAGTTCGTCTTTTAAGCTCAAAAAGTTATATGAAAAGTTGCAATTCTACAAACAATGTCCATAACATTGTCCTTATGGAGACAGTAACACAAAATATGCGCCGTTTTGGACCCTTAAGATAAGTCTGTGTTCCGGGCGCAAAAAATTATAGTAAAAGTTGAAATTTTCGTTATCAAATTATTCCGATGAAGACACTAATCTCAGATTATGCGCCGCTTTGTGCCCTTCAAAAACTAATACTTTGAGCTCCAGGTGCAAAAGAATATAGCAAAAATTGCGATTTTGGGTATGAAAAAATTCTTATGGGGACTAATCTCAAATCATGCGCCGTTTTTGACTTTTGAAGTAGTAGTTCGTCTTTTAAGCTCAAAAAGTTATATGAAAAGTTGCAATTCTACAAACAATGTCCATAACATTGTCCTTATGGAGACAGTAACACAAAATATGCGCCGTTTTGGACCCTTAAGATAAGTCTGTGTTCCGGGCGCAAAAAATTATAGTAAAAGTTGAAATTTTCGTTATCAAATTATTCCGATGAAGACACTAATCTCAGATTATGCGCCGCTTTGTGCCCTTCAAAAACTAATACTTTGAGCTCCAGGTGCAAAAGAATATAGCAAAAATTGCGATTTTGGGTATGAAAAAATTCTTATGGGGACTAATCTCAAATCATGCGCCGTTTTTGACTTTTGAAGTAGTAGTTCGTCTTTTAAGCTCAAAAAGTTATATGAAAAGTTGCAATTCTACAAACAATGATCATAACATTGTCCTTACGGAGACAGTAATACGAAATATGCGCCGTGAAAGTTGCGATTTTGCTTATAAAAGTATGGAGACCCTTAAAATAATACTTTGTGTTGCACCCACAAAACATTATAGTAGAGGATTGGATTTCATAGCCGTCAAATTCTTTTTCGACAGTGACAATTGAATGCTCTTATGGAGACACTAATAGCAAATTATGCGCCGTTTTGGGCCCCTGAGACAATAGTGTGTGTTCCTGGTTCAAAACAATTGTCGGCCGGCGTGTACGTCTTCCTACAAGTACGGTTGAATGCACAAAGAAGTTCGGGCGCCAAAAAAAATTAAAACGAAACCTTTGCGCGACCTCCGTCGGCAAAACAAAGACCTATTGTAATAAGACACCTATAACAAATTTACTACAGGAACAACTTACATCTAAAGTAATGAATGACAAAGGAAATGCATAGAAGGCGTAAGAATTTAAATAAGAGCACAAATCAAATAGTTACTTAAGCTGAAGTTTAGTCAGGAATTTAGCTTGAATCGGCCTTGGATCTTCATACAAGTCTTTGGGCTGCGGAGCTATCGTCATCCATCGTCTAAATTGTAAATACGGCGGACCTGTAGAGTAAGAATAGAAGAGAAACAAAAAACAGAAGAAGAGAATAGCAATAACAGAGGAGAGGAGTAACAGCAATAAAAAAAGAACAAAGTAACTTTAGGGGAAAAATAAGGCGAATTAAACGTCATGGGATGGAGAAGGTGGATCAACAGAAGGGCAAAATAGGGAGCAGAGGAATTGGGGGGGAGGGGGGTATTTGAACATAGGACGTTAGTAAATGAGAAAAAACGGAGAGAATAGCTGTAGGTGGAGTGCGAAAACAGCAAATGGGGATTGCCAGAAAACGGTGAGAAGAGTATGAAAAGAGACGACCGAATGGAAAAGTATTAATAGCTCAAAAATGTCATGGCAAGATTATTGTTCCTACAATAACTTCAATTTGTTAAATCGCCGCATTTTTTGGAATAATTTAATGGTCGCTGAAATTAGTCAGCAAATTATAACGACTTTGACCTTACGATGCTTTAACGGCGACCTGAGTCTTATTTTGCTGTTAATGTGAACTGCACTTTCACAATTTTGACGTTTTGGGATTTTGTTCGAGAAGAGAATGCTGGAGACCTTTTGGATCGTACCTTACTCATCTCTGTCAAGGTTAAGATGTTGTCAACAATCGACCTACAATCGGGGTACTGGCGCCACTAACTCAAAATTCACGTGCACTTACCATGTTTACAACTTCGGGCGAAACTTGTTACCTGTTCCGACGGATGCCTTTTGGACTGCGCAATGCGCCATAAAATTTTTAAAAGCTAATACCCTCCTATGGCACCTGCGGCGCAGCTGAAATGCTCTACCTAGGTCCTTTAGCTTGTTGAGTGCTGCTAGAATCTTCTGGGTTCATGAAAAACTCTTCTAGAACACTAGAGGGTTTTTTTAATGCTACAAAAGGTTCAATAAGATAGTGAAATTTAGAATGGTCTACAAAAAACCTATGACACTTTTAAAGGCTAATTAAGCCTTCCCCGCTTCCAGTTTTCCACGTTGCGGTTTCTCGTTTCCGGTTTCCGGTTCTCAATTTCTTCATGCCTTTTCTTCATGCTAAGGTTTCCATTTCCAGGTTACCAAATACCAATCTTTGGTTTCGCTTTTACGTTTTCGCTTCTACTTCCAATTTCCGGTTTCAATTTCACTTTGCCTGCTTCGGTTTCTTCTACTTTTTCGAACTGTTGAACTTCCTAGACTTATTCTACTTGCTTGACTTCCCCATGAGATACCTGCTCTCCATGCCTTACTGATTTATTTTTAAATTTCGATTTCCTAGGCTTCCTCGGCAGCCGCATCTCAATTTTCTAGGCAAAAGTTATTAACTACGCGGTAAATAAATGCCGAGGTCTACTACGCAAAGATCCAAAGGGTTCAAGAGCACTTAAAGGCTTCAATTAATTGAAGCCTTTGAAACCTTTACGAGCTCTCTGATGCTGTAAGTGCAGTTAAGGGTTTCCAAAAGTCTCTTAGAGAAGCCTCCTAAACCTATCTTTATCTCCATAGTTTAGCTTGAATTGTGCATTGTGTAGCATTATCTGTAAAAAAAATAGTACGTAATATTTAATATTAACATTTAAAGCTTGACGTAATCAAAGTTTGGTTAACATTACGTCAAAGTATTATATTTATTTAAGGAAACACACGTGGTTTAGTAATAAAAGGTGTGTTTTCTGTACGAATTGTTTGGGCAACTGTCTCAAAATAGCAATATATTTGACTGTATGAGCAGCATGTAGGGTCTACTGCTCGCACAGACGGACGGACTGATAACCTCTTCTCATACTACTAAATTGCATTCTTCACCATTTTGAAAACAATCCCATTACCCCCTCCCCTTTTTTTGCTATCCCGTGATCTTTACCTATCCACAAAATAGCGTCGGCCCTGCAGTCATACGATAAGCACACTGTTTTGTACGTTGTCGGGTGAGTCGTTTACAGGGTGGTTCAATTAACTAACGTCAACCCCTCCCAGGTGTCAACTCTGCAATCTTGCATAGTGGAATGGATGGTGGAACAGAAGTCCCTGACGGAGATCTTCCGTTGTTGGACCGGCCTCCACCACTTCGGCAACCTTATTCAGCAGAATCTGACAATGTGACTTACCAGAATGCAATTAGTCCATACCAGGCCTTTTCAATAGCTGAGACTAGCATAATGTCAGTGACTGGATCGTTCCTATTGCTAATAGAATTCTTATTGTAAGCGTAAGACCTTCGCTTAATTTAGATATATAAGTAGGACGTTGCGTAGTTTGCGCTCATGTCATCGGTATATTATGACGTCATCATTGAGTATGTTTACATAGCATCTTGTAAACAATGGAACAGAATACGTATGTAGGCAGCTATACAGACAATGCTGCATTGTGGGTAGGATACCCGTTACATCAAGGACTTAAAAATTGTTTTAGTAGTTATTTGTAACAAGTTTTCTATGTCGCGATCTTTTACTAACAAGAGGAAAAAAATCACTTTAACCGTTTTTTTCGTAATAACAACACCCGCAGTACTTAGCAAGAATTCGAGACTTGCCCCATACTCACGAACGAAGCCACCGTTACTTTCGTCTCAAGACGACAAACGTTTCGCGGCACTTTCGGATAAAACTGGCGGTTTTTTTTATGCACTATGGGAATAATTTTGTATTACGCACACGCGAGGAAAACCTTCTTCGGGACAAAAACCCTAGCATAGCTCACACAAAGACTCGACGAATTATATTAAGAAAGACAAAAAAAGCAAAATAGAACACTTCAAATTGTGAAACTTCATTTCTCTGTGCCACCAATCTAAAATAATTTTGTTGGTATGCTCTACAGTGCGTTTCCACATAGCAGGTGTAACTGCGTCAATGGCATATTGCCACGTATCTAAACACTTTTCTCTGCCATAACCTTTCTCGCCAACGTGTCGGTTATAGTGCCGTTTTCAAATTCCCCATATATTTTTGATGGTATTGAAAACGTAATGGTAGGGAGGCAACCGTAGTACCGCATGTCCATTTTCTAATGCCATCTCATCAGCATACTGTTGCGACTGGTAAAAGTGAACTATCTTTTTCTCGTTCATAATAAGTAATAAGATTAGAAATAAGTTGTTTACCTTTTCTTGGTAAACCCGATGACATAACTGCGTATGAAAGTTGGCAGCGCCAGAAAGTCGTAGACCGAACTAAATTAACTAGTCGATCTTGCTGATGCTACATCCGTACTAGACTATGTTGCTAACGCTAGATCCGTTCGATATCGAAGTACTGTGTAATTTGTACTTTTAAGAGTCTATGTGAAATTTGGGTTTCTAGGGATTTCATTGGTTGGGAATTGATGGGCGTAGTTTTAAAAGATTAAAGTGGTGGAATATTCGAAAATTGTGGGGCCTAGTCTCAGGGCGCGAATTGACTGGCTTCGAAGCGCGAGTAACTATGCCGAGAGCGAATGCGCGTTAAGGCACGAGAGCGTTTACGATCCTTAGCATAGTACTTTCGTGTAAGTCTGAATTTATGAAGCACAAGTCAGAATGTTTGAATTCAAATCAGGATATCCGAGAAATAGTAGTAAACCTACAGATCCAAAATCAGACCTAAACGCAAAACCTTTATTTTAGTGATTCGTAGTATTCTAGTTTAAGTCTGAAGTTTTGAAGTGTAAGTCGGAATTCTTGCGCTCATGTTCTTAGAATAATATTTTGCATGTCTGAATTTTTGACTTCAAGTCAGAATATCAGCAGTAGACCTACACTGGGAATTTTCCATTAAAAGTTAGACCTAAGTCCAATAACAATTACTTCATTCAGCGTCATAGTCCGACCTAAACTCAAAATCTTTACTCATACTCGACATAGCATAGATTTTCGTACCTATGTCTGAATTTTTGGAGCATACATCAGAATTTTTGAGTTCAAGTCCGAATATTCGAAGTATAGTAGTAGACTCACACTGGGAATCTTCTATCCAAAATCAGACTTAAAACAAGACCTTTACTTTATTTCAGCATCGTATATTTAGTGTATAATCAAGTCAAAATCACCGAAACGTAGTCGATCTACACTACAAATTTTCCTCTCTGACTCGGATCTAAATTTAAATCTTTACGCATTCTCATATTCTTAGCATACTATTCTCATATAAGTCTGAATTTGTGGAGTGTAAGTCAGACTTTTTGAGTTCAAGTCAGAAAATCCGAACTACAGTAGTAGACTTACACTGAGAATCTTCTGTCCAAAGTCAGACTTAAACTCTAAACCTTTACTTTACTTCAGCAGCACATATTTAGCGTATAATTGAGAGCATTATTGTTTAAGTCTGAATTTTTGGTTTATAAGTCGGATTTTTTGATCTCAAGTCAAAATCACCGAAATATAGTCGATATACACTCAACATTTTCCTCTTTGACTCGGACTTAAACTCAAATCTTTACGCATTCTCATATTCTTAGTGTACTATTTCCATACAAGTCTGAATTTGTGGGGTATAAGTCAGATTTTTTGCGTTCAAGTCAGAAAATCCAAGATACAGTAGTAGATTAGTAGACTTACACTGAGAATCTTCTGTCCAAAGTCAGACTTAAACTCTAAAACCTTTACTTTACTTCAGCAGCACATATTTAGCGTATAATTCAGAGTATTATTGTTTAAGTCTGAATTATTGGTTTATAAGTCGGAATTTTTTATCTCAAGTCAAAATCACCGAAATATAGTCGATCTACACTCAACATTTTCCTATTTGACTCGGACCTAAACTCAAATCTTTACGCATTCTCATATTCTTAGCATACTATTTCCATATCAGTCTGAATTTGTGGAGTACAAGTCAGACTTTTTGCGTTCAAGTCAGAAAATCCGAGATACAGTAATAGACTTACACTGAGAATCTTCTGTCCAAAGTCAGACTTAAACTCTAAACCTTTACTTTACTTCAGCAGCACATATTTAGCGTATAATTGAGAGCATTATTGTTTAAGTCTGAATTTTTGGTTTATAAGTCGGAATCTTTGATCTCAAGTCAAAATCACCGAAACATAGTCGATCTACACCCAAAATTTTCCTCTCTGATTCGGACTTAAACTCAAATCTTTACGCATTCTCATATTCTTAGCATACTGTTTTCATATAAGACTGAATTTGTGGAGTACAAGTCAGACTTTTTGCGTTCAAGTCAGAAAAGACGAGATACAGTAGTGGACTTACACTGAGAATCTTCTGTCCAAAGTCAGATTTAAACTTTAAAACCTTTACTCAACAACAGCATCACATATTTAGCGTATAATTCAGAGTATTATTGTTTAAGTCTGAATTTTTAGTTTATAAGTCGGATTTTTTTAATCTCAAGTCAAAATCAGCGAAATATAGTCGATTTACACTCAAAATTTTCCTCTTTGACTCGGACCGAAACTCAAATCTTTACGCATTCTCATATTCTTAGCATACTATTCTCATATAAGGCTGAATTTGTGGAGTGTAAGTCAGACTTTTTGAGTTCAAGGCAGAAAATCCGAACTACAGTAGTAGACTTACACTGAGAATCTTCTGTCCAAAGTCAGACTTAAACTCTAAAACCTTTACTTTACTTCAGCAGCACATATTTAGCGTATAATTCAGAGTATTATTGTTTAAGTCTGAATTATTGGTTTATAAGTCGGAATTTTTTATCTCAAGTCAAAATCACCGAAATATAGTCGATCTACACTCAACATTTTCCTATTTGACTCGGACCTAAACTCAAATCTTTACGCATTCTCATATTCTTAGCATACTATTTCCATATCAGTCTGAATTTGTGGAGTACAAGTCAGACTTTTTGCGTTCAAGTCAGAAAATCCGAGATACAGTAATAGACTTACACTGAGAATCTTCTGTCCAAAGTCAGACTTAAACTCTAAAACCTTTACTTTACTTCAGCATCACATATTTAGCGTATCATTCAGAGTATTATTGTTTAATTCTGAATTTTTAGTTTATAAGTCGGAATTTTTAACCTCAAGTCAAAATCTCCGAAACATAGTCGATTTACACTCAAAATTTTCCTCCCGTACTCGGACCTAAACTCAAATCTTTACGCATTCTCATATTCTTAGCATACTATTCTCATATAAGTCTGAATTTGTGGAGTGTAAGTCAGACTTTTTGAGTTCAAGTCAGAAAATCCGAACTACAGTAGTAGACTTACACTGAGAATCTTCTGTCCAAAGTCAGACTTAAACTCTAAAACCTTTACTTTACTTCAGCATCACATATTTAGCGTATCATTCAGAGTATTATTGTTTAATTCTGAATTTTTAGTTTATAAGTCGGAATTTTTAACCTCAAGTCAAAATCTCCGAAACATAGTCGATTTACACTCAAAATTTTCCTCCCGTACTCGGACCTAAACTCAAATCTTTACGCATTCTCATATTCTTAGCATACTATTCTCATATAAGTCTGAATTTGTGGAGTGTAAGTCAGACTTTTTGAGTTCAAGTCAGAAAATCCGAACTACAGTAGTAGACTTACACTGAGAATCTTCTGTCCAAAGTCAGACTTAAACTCTAAACCTTTACTTTACTTCAGCAGCACATATTTAGCGTATAATTGAGAGCATTATTGTTTAAGTCTGAATTTTTGGTTTATAAGTCGGATTTTTTGATCTCAAGTCAAAATCACCGAAATATAGTCGATATACACTCAACATTTTCCTCTTTGACTCGGACTTAAACTCAAATCTTTACGCATTCTCATATTCTTAGTGTACTATTTCCATACAAGTCTGAATTTGTGGGGTATGTCAGATTTTTTGCGTTCAAGTCAGAAAATCCAAGATACAGTAGTAGATTAGTAGACTTACACTGAGAATCTTCTGTCCAAAGTCAGACTTAAACTCTAAAACCTTTACTTTACTTCAGCATCACATATTTAGCGTATAATTGAGAGAATTATTGTTTAAGTCTGAATTTTTGGTTTATAAGTCGGATTTTTTAATCTCAAGTCAAAATCACCGAAACATAGTCAATCTACACTCAAGATTTTGCTCTCTGCCTCGGACCTAAACTCAAATCTTTACACATTCTCATATTCTTAGCATACTATTTTCATATCGGTCTGAATTTGTGCAGTACAAGTCAGACTTTTTGCGTTCAAGTCAGAAAATCCGAGATACAGTAATAGACTTACACTGAGAATCTTCTGTCCAAAGTCAGACTTAAACTGTAAAACCTTTACTTAATTTCAGTATCACATATTTAGCGTATAATTCAGAGTATTATTGTGCAAGTCAGAATTTTTTGTTTATAAATCGGAATTTTTGATCTCAAGTCAAAATCACCGAAACGTAGTCGATCTACACTCAAAATTTTCCTCTCTGACTCGGACCTAAAGTCAAATTTTTACGCAATCTCATGTGCTTAGCATACTATTTTCATATAAGTCTGAATTTTGTGGAGTACAAGTCAGACTTTTTGCGTTCAAGTCAGAAAATCCTTGCCCGAACCCGGATTCGAACCAGGGATCATTAGTATCGCAGTCCAGATCCAACTGAACTGCGCGGGCTAGCCGGTTCTCGAAAGTTTTGACTAGTTCTCCAACTTCAAGACTCCAAAGCTTCAAGGATGCAAGTTCTTAAGGTCTTAGAACTCCAGAGACCCAAATCTCCTAAGTGCTTCCAAAAACCTCTGCTAAGCTCGTTGTTAATATCCCCCATGAGCTTGTGGTGGCCTTGAAGACCTTTAGAAGTCTTTAAAAAGTTATCAAAGGGTCCTGAATGGTTCTTGAAATTCTTACCTGTCCCTAAGATTCGATCAGCTTGTGTAACTCTTAGGCGGTTTTCATGAAGGGCTGATCTAGAACTGCTAAGAGCCTTCGGAAACATTAAAGGCTGCATATTTAAAATCTTCAAGGGTCTCCAAAGGTTTCGAAGACTATTCATATATGAGTGTTTAAAGAGCCCTTAAAAGCTCTTAGCCTATTAAATACTATTGCCAATAATTTGTTTAGTATTTAGACTTCTTTAATTAACAATAGATAACGATATTTGCTTTAATTGGACTATTTAGGAAAAAAGTATTTCGTCAGACATAAACAAATACATATACAGAGTGTTGCATTCAAAAGGTTACTTTAGAAAGCTTTGGACATTCTAAAATAATACAATTAAAAATGAAACAATTTGAAGCCTTAAGGGTCTTCGTATTGAGTGCAAGGTATAAATTAATTTTGCGCGGGAAATTTAAATTTTCTTTTTTATACACCTTAACGGAATTATCGAACTACCGCACCGATCGGATTGTTTAACTGTATCTTATAAAAAAAATAATTATTTGCGTTACCTTGTGATCGATACAGAACGGTAGTTAAATGGAGTGACGTTTATTAAGTGCACATATCAGCTGATCATCGTTATATAATAAACGGTGGGTCGCGTGTCGAAGTCTCAGTGTATTTGTTCCATTGTTTGTCTCGAGACGCAAACTCATTAAACCGAACAATTACATTGTCGTACGAATAAAAAGCGAGATCTCAGTCTGACGTGTTGCTGATAACCCGAATCGACAACGTTATCATTCCCCACTCTGTATACGTGTTGATTTATAATTTAAAAAAAGTAAATGTTATTACGAGCACTTGCCGATAATGAGAGAAATTGAATGTCAGATAAAGCGTTTACGATTACATCGATGGTCCTTTTTAGTGGCGAGATGAAAGACGACAAAGATCAACTAACCTTCGTTCTCAAAGGGTAAGTGAACTCATTTTTATTTCCGCTCGATATTTCAAAAATTTCCGCCCCGAGACGCGGCCGAGTGACGTCGCACGCGCGAACTTTATGCACTTTCGCCTCGGTGAATGGGCGCCTTAGACCTTAAAACTTTAAAATGACCTTTGCGTTCCACAAGGAAAAACTTATCGTATTTGAATTTCAAATGGCGCGCAGTACCACTTTTTCGAAATTGGGACGAAGATATCGTTGCGGTTTTGAAAGATTATCGCGCAAGAACTTTTACACCTTTCATTGTTTTAAGTTTGCGACTTTCAGACGCCTTTTTCAATGAGAATTGCGTGCGAGGGTCAAGATCTGAGCATTGCGACCTCGTAGAAAGTAACAATTAAACAAAGTAGAAAAGAATGAAAGTCGATTGACTCTAAGATTTTTATTAATTGATTGATTAACGATTAGAATCGATTTACATGATATTTGATATTTCTCAAAAATTCATTAATAAGTCGACCAATGAGATTAATTCATTAATTATTATCATAAATGAATATTCTTCGATAATCGATTTATGTACATTTGATTAAGCAATGTGATGACCGCAGGTATTTAAAAGCATTAAAAATTTCATAGGCCACCAAGAGCATTAAATGGTGCAACTGATCTATGGGATTTTTGGAGTCTTAAAATCATTAAACCATTCAAGCCTTGAAGGATTAAAGCATTAAACATTTGGGGGCCTACGAACTGTTGCAACCTTAAGTGTTGGCCGCTTTTGAGCTTTGAGCCCTTTGAAACGTTTTGTAACTGCTTTTGAAGATTTTAAGGGGTTTTGTGAAGTTTTAAGGGGTTCTAAGAGCCTTTGAGGGTGCCCAAGGCCACAATAGGTTACTTGAAAACATAATTTAGAGGTTAATTAGATCTTTCAGAACCTTTGGTAGTTTGGGTTTCAAGTGTACACAATTTCTAAGATCTTTCATGAATCCTGCAACTTAATTGTTTTTGAAAATCTTTTAGAACCTCTTAAGGACTACTCGGAACTGTGGTTTCTTTAAGGTCTCTGTTGTTTTTGATGTCCTTGACGCCTTTAGAGCCCTCAAGTGTCTTTCATGTAATCATATCTTGATGGTACAGGTCTAACACTGAAAACTGACTCTGCTAGTCCGTTACAAAGATTTTGATCTATTTATAATGGGTGCTGAAAAAAGCTGACTTTAGAGTCATTTGAGGTGGTTTCAAGGAAAAAGGCCCCGGAATTCCGCCTGCTCAGTTTGCAGATGCGTTAAACATTTATTTAAGAAGCTCAAACTGATAAATGTTACCTACTTGTAATTTATTAACAGTACAAATAAATGTTTTAGAAGAAAAGTTGGGGGTATGGAATACCTCTCAGCGCATTAAGGATCCATATACCTTTTCTTGAAATCTACCATGGCAATTACTCTCGCGAAATGTTTTGGGCGATGAGTAAATTTTTTAAACATGTTCCATACACGAACGTTCTAGGGAGTAAATGTTTTGGAAGAGAAGTTAACACCGGGTGGTCTGGGGGGTATGTAATACCCCCCAGCGCATTAGGGATCCATTACCTTTTCTCGAAATTTACCATGGCAATTACTTTCCGGAGAGGGCCATCAAATCCTTCATGCCTGGGGTTATTCCATACACCCCAGACCCCCCGGTGCCAAATTCTCCCCCGAAATGTTTTGGGCGATGAGAAATTTTTTTAAACATGTTCCACACACGAAAGTGCGGGGGGGGGGTTAATGTTTTGGAAGGAAAGTTAACACCGGGGGGTCTGGGGGGTATGGAATACCCCCCAGCGCATTGGGGATCCATTACCTTTTCTCGAAATCTACCATGGCAATTACTTTCCGAGAAGGGTCATCAATCCTTCATGCCTGGGGGGTATTCCATACCCCCCAGAGCCCCGGTACTAAATTATCCTCCGAAATGCTTTGAGCGATGAGCAAATTTTTTAAACATACATGAGAGTTCTAAGAATGTTTTGGTGGGGAATTTAACACCGGAGGTCTGGGGGGTATGGAATACTCCCAGCGCATTAGACATCCGTTATCTTTTCCCTAAATTTACCACGGCCATTAGTTTCGGGAAAGGGTCAAATACTTCACGCCAGTATTCAATACCCCCCAGACCACCCGGTGCTAAATTCTCCATCGAAATGTTTAAGGCGATGAGCAATTTTTTTAAACTTGTATGGAATACCCCCCTCCTCCTCCCCCGCGCATTATACATCCGTTCCCTTTTCCCAAAATTTACCATGGCAATTAGGTACTTTCGGGAAGAGTCACCCCCCAGCGCATAAGGTTTCATTAACTTTTCTAGAAATCTACCATCTCAGTTAGGTATCCGTTACCTTTTCCCGATATCTACCATGACAGTTCCTTTCGGGAAAGGGTAACCAAATTCTGTATACCTGGGGGGTATTCGATACCCCCCAGACCAGACCACCTTCGTGCTAAATTCTCCCCAAAAATGTTTACAGCAAATTTTTTAAACATGTTCAATACACGAGGGTTCTAGGCGGTAAATGTTTTGAAGAAGAATTTAACAACGGCGGTCGGGGGGGGGGGGTTATGGAATTCCCCCAGCTTTACCTTTCCCCAAAATCTACCATGACGGTTTCGTTCGGGATACCTAGGTGGATATTTCACATTCCTTAGGCCCCTCGGTGCTAAATTCTCTCCCAAATTGAGAGAAGAGCAAATTTTGTTAAACATGTTTGAAGCCGTACAGGTTTAACCCTGAAGCCCAGCAGATCTGAAGCTTTCGTCTTTGAGCTTGATGACTTGACGCTATATTCCACCGTTAGCCCTTTTAGGGATTGTGCCTAGGAACCTTGGAAGCTCTGAAGCATGTGGGATGAGGGAATTGGTGTTTTAAGCATTGAATCTTTGGAGGTCTTAAAGTGTTGCAGCACCTTCTGTGCTTTGTACCATTTGAATCCAAGCCCCAGACTCCCTTGCAGATTGGAGGGTAAACGGCATGTGGGCTTTAGTACCTGGAATCATTTGAGAGTCGAAGCTTTGCAAACCTTGGAGATTTACAGCATTGAGGAATTGGCGGCTCGAGGAGCTCAAGGGCTTGAACACCTTAGAACAACGTTGCATAAGAGTATCAAGGCCTTGAAAACTGGGTAAAACTTTGAAAATTGAAATTATTGCATACGTTTAAAAATTGAATCTCAAAGAATCTGACCCCTAAAGGTCCTTAAACCTATTAATGGCTCATAAAATGTTGGACTTCTTGGAACAATTTATGTCTCCTGAAAACCCTTTCAGACTATAGGCGACCATAGCAGACTCACCAAAATCGGCTCTTAAAAACTCACAATGGATTTCTTAACAGCGCTTAAAGACTTCGAAAGGCGTGTACCTACTCATAAAAGTTAATGGTCTTGAAGACTCTTCAAGAGTCAGATTTCTTACACACTCGTAAAAACTAAATGTCTTTGTAAATTGTAACGGGCTATTTACATTTACATTTACAAGGGGCGAAGAAAACTGAAAACTGAAATTGAACCTCCATAGCACTGGCAAAAATTCCAATCAATTTTATTTACTCAAAGCGTTGCATACAAAATGTTCTGCGCTGCATAAATGTGTTACTCGAATTTTAACAAACTTGTTCTCTGTTTATCACAATGACTTTTTAAATTCGATTTCTTTAACCTCGTTTCTATTTGAAGAGCGCGACTCCAATTCGAAAATGTTCCCTCGCGTAAATTGTACGATTCATCAATGAACAGAATAGGCTAACAATTTTAACATTATATTAAGTCTGCAGGTTGCAGGTAACTTGTACTTTGTCTTTGGGAGTTTCTTAACAATGCGATTGAAAAAAATTAGCAGCGACGTTCTTGTTTGGAATTTTCCACTCACAATTAAAACTGGGAACACTTTATCGCTAATGAATAAATTTTTTCAAACGACAATTTAGCGTACCTTAAATAGTACGTAATCGCACGCGAGATTTAGGGCGAAAGTAATAAAATCCCCTTGTAACAGCTTTTTTATTTACAGACATACTTTCGTTCATGTTCGCTGCAAAGCGGTACATGTTTAAATTTCTTGTATGTTTACCAAAGTACAAACTGAAAACCATTGTATTTTCTTAAAGACCAATAAAAGCTGAAAAGATTTTGGAGCAGACTTAGAATGAGATGCGCTAGTTTCGGTACGAATTACTTTGCGCTTCGCATTTTTAGTAGAAAGATTTTTAAAAAATCTTAGAGATTCACTTTCACTCTCATAAAGATTCTTTTTTATGACACCTCAAACCCTCACTTCATATTCCCTGGAGTAATTCCTAATTTTCATACAAAATCATCAAAATATGGACGCTTTTAACAAAATAGCGGAGTCCCTCCCAATTTTCCATTATTTATTTGGTGGAAGTTTTTCGATTAACTCAAATATTTGGACGGCCTCCAAAACTGTGCTTACAAATATTACAATGAAGTGCAAATATTATTCTGGTTGAAAACTTTCCACCTGTTTTCTCGCCACCACTGAACAGCAAAAATTTATCTCCGAGATAAGTTTTCAAGTGCAACCACGGCCGGATGAGGAAAACTACTCGACTATCACCAAAAGTTTCCTGGCCAGGGACGTGCGTGTAACTCATTAAAAAAAGCAGCGGCCTCCCAAATTTGTCGGACTAAGCTGGGGCGTTAAGGCTAATTAGTTTCGTCGGAATCCCCTCGCGTAAATATTATTGCTGTTTGTTTAACCTTGCGCGTAATTAGCGGGATTTTTTTTTCATTTAACGGAAAATTGTGCAATTCGATGAGTTAGGTGCGACGATTGCCTCACGTGGAAAATTGTGTTTCTCAGCATAGACTGGCTTGCAATTGCTTAATTCCGGCACGTGCTTGTTTTGTATGCGTAATCGTGACCTTATCGTATTTCCCATGGTGTTCGATTTTCGGAGGTGTCGAGTGTCTTTCAGGTAAGTTTAAAGTTACTTTTAAGTTCACTTAATTTTTCTTCTCTCGCTCTTACCTTCCTCCACTTCTAATTTTTTCTCAAGAACGCTCTCAAGTTTCCTTTTGGTTCCTCTCAAACTTTACTCCGAAGTTCTCCTCTCAAGTCACTCTCAGGTTTCAAACTTGTTTTGGATTACAAACCAACCGCAGGCAACTCTCCTCTGTTCCCCACCTGCTTGCTATTCCTCAATGTGATCAGTCGTCTGATGCCCTCCTTCTGCTACTCTTCTATATAGCTTTTGTCTTATTTCCGCCCACTACTACCTACCTACTTCTTTCACTAATAATGTACTCTTTTTCTGATACTATTACTGTTTTTTTCTGCTCCAATTCTCTACCTTTCATCTGCTGCCTTGCACGTCCTGCCTTTCCTCTCGTTTTCCTTCACTCCTCCTTAGATAGATCATTTGATTTCTTACAGTTTTATCACAATTCTTGTACTTATTTCCTCTGCTCCGTCTGTGCTCCTTCTCTGGTATTTTTTGCCATTACACCTCGCTGTGCCAGTTCTTCCCTTGGTTTCCTCATACTCATCATCGACTCTCTGTCATATTCTTCTTCTACACCTCTATATCTCTTATGTTCTTCGCGCGTTCTGCACTCCCTCTGCTTTACAATTGCTGATCAACTTTTTACTCTTCGCTCCTTTAATCTGATAATCATTGGCCTCTCCTGATTCCATTCTTTTCTGATTCCTCCTTCATGTGGCCTTATCTTCGGGTTTATCTGTCTTTACTCTAGCCCTGTCCTGGTTTTTCTCTCTTTGTTTCTATTTGCTTTTTCCATTTCAGTCTCATTCTTTCTCTTATTTTTCGTCTGCCCTACGTTACTTCGTTTCTGCTCCTCTTCAGCTCCCAATCCTCTCTCCTTCGGTTCTCCAACTCCTCTGCTGTACATTTACTCTTCTGCTTCCGTCCTTCCTCTCTTGACTTATGCTCCTAGCTGCTTAGCTCTTTGGTCGATTGTTTTTCACATTTCTGATTTTGCCTTTTGTTTCTGGTTTTATCATCATTTCGTCGCCGGTTACATTTGCACTTTTCCTCTCTAGCCCTGTCCATATTTTGTTCTTCCTCCTCACTTTCTCTGCTACCATTCTGGTTTGTTCTGCAACATTTCTGTTCTCTTTATTGATCTCTCTCATACCTTCACGTTCTGCTGTTCCCTAGCCGTTTCTTTAGTTTCTGTTATTGTTCAACCCTTCTGTCTCTTCCATACACCCTAGAGCCCATGGTACTACGCTTCCATGCAGTACGTTAACCCCTGAGAGCTCTGGTGATATTAAAAAAAAAACATCTTGTGCTTTAACTCATTTTGGGTGAGAAATCAGAACCGCCGGGGGGTCTGGGGGGGTACGGAATACCCCCTAATAAAGAAAACCCGGTTATCCTTTATCCGCAATTATGAAATCAGTTGTATTCCCATACAAATGAAATCTACGTACAGAGGGGTGTATTATTAATACCCCCCCCCCAGTGCTACGCTTCTCTGCAGTACGTTATTCTCTGAGGGCTTTCGTGATACTTTAAAGGGTACCATCTGTTTATTTGAGGTAAAAACACAGAACTGGAGGGTCTGGGGGGTATATGAAACCCCCCCCCCCCTCCGCAAGAGAAAACACGGTTATCCTTTATCTACAACCATCATGAAACCAGGGTATTAGTAGAAATAATTCCTAAAAATAGACTCTTCCATTTCTGGGGGGTCCCCAGAGTCCCCGATGCTACGCTCCTCTGCAGTACGTTAACCCTTGAGCGAGTACCATCTTGTTTTTTTAACTGATTTTGTGTAAAAACACCGAACCAGGCGATGTTCGTGCCTCTACTTCTTCTTTTCTGTCCCTCCGACTCTATACCTTTTGTCCTCTTTAGACTTTCCTCTGATTTTTAGTCCATTTTTGCACAATTAATTTGTAAAACGGTATCTTTTAATCTCACTTTGGCCGGCCGGCTGACTGGATGGCAGCAAATGTTGACCGGTAGAAGAACGCTTGTAGAAAAACGAGGAGTGTACCCGGGGCCATGTAATTAACAACCTGAAGGACGGGGCTACATGAAGTGGGTCGGCGACGTCTGGGTGCCATCCCCGAGCGTGTTATATCAACGTGGTGATTTTTCAATTTTTTTCTTATCTTCTTCAACAGTTTTGGTCCGATTGTTTTCAAATTGGTGCCGTCCGAAATATCTTGTAATTGCAGGTAATAATAATAATATATATTCAAACGCGAAATCCCTCGTATCCTAAGACTCATTCATTCAACCGCTGGTGGAATTGCTTCCTGTCTTATGCTCTCTTTGTATGTTTTTTGGCACTCGCTCTCTCATTTTCTCCTCGTTTTTTACCTCTGCTCCTCCTCCTCACCTTCTCCTTTGTCCGCTCCTTCGTTAGTGCCTTGCCTTCACCCTCTTTCTTCCATTCGTTTCCAACTCCTTTTCCCTTGATGACTCCTGTATATTCTCTGATGTTCTTCTCTATTTCTTTTACTTTTCTTGTCACATTTCTGCTTTTCCTTCCGTTGGCTGTTTGTTACTGGTTTCTTCAGATGTTCCTTTGCTATTTGCTTGTTGATACTGCAGTTCTTCCATATTGTCATGTTCGTTCTCTGTTCTTCTTATTTTTACCACCCGCACGTTAGTAAGGGACGAATTGTATTGGGGTAAAAAATGACCCCCCTTCTTTATTGACGGAAATACAGGTTTTGAAGCACCAGGAATCCGAATCAAACACAATCTCGATCATGTCGGTCTGTCGGCTGAACCGATTGGAACCAAATTTGGTACACATATGCATAGGAATAAAAGGGCGGAATCGCGCATGCGCCGGATGTGCGGATAGTATCCGTGTTGGCCACAGAAAATTTTTTTCTTTCTCCCTTGGCTAATGATTGCTCCTTGCACCTTCTCTGTTCCATAATTGCCCTCTTTATCTCCTCTGCTTCCCCTGATTCTCTATTTTATTTTTTTTGCTTTTCTACATTTCCTATGTTCCCTCTATCTTTGTTAACATGTTGCCTCTCCTTCCGCTTCTCCTCAGATTATCCGCAGGCAGGGCCATGCTCCTCTTTTTTGCCACTGTGATTTTGAAACAAGCACCACTGCGTTGCACTTACCAATAGTTAAGCGCCACCCAATTTCTAACTTAACTCTCCCTGTATGAAATTGAGAATATACGAGGGCAGTAACAACATAGGATCAGTTACGTTACACACAAATCTGACTATCTCGACTGCAATTGAAAATTTTTCCAGTCAAGAATGATCGATTACCAAACTAATCACTGAATCTTAACACAACTTTCTAAAAATAAATTGATACTCCGGGCACAAATACGCACCTATCTATAGGACCAAGTACAAGAAAGGCGACAACATAAAATTAAACGTTCACGCCAAGAAGTGGGCCGAGTTCTCGGATCCCAAAACCTGCAAACAAAAGAAAACCTCCCAAGCTGCAGAACTCGGTGCACAATTAACTGACTAATGCCTGAAGGGCCTCGTTTTACTCGTTTCACCGCTTCAGAAAGATTATCATTCGCGTTACTAACTCGATCATAACCTAACCGAGATCGCAGAGATAAACAAATTACTTGAATGTGCAAAAATAGTTAATACTAATACGTTAAAAATTACGGAAGTTGTCTGTTTATGAAGGACCGAATCCCGATATCAAATGTCGTTCATGACCCGGTGACCTAATTCCAGAAAATGGCCGCTCGTCATCAGCAGGTGGAAGATATGTCAAAGGCAGACAAATGGTGAGCAAGGTTATGAACTCGTACGGCGACCAAGAATCCTATGTGTGTATAGTAAAACGTTTCCGGAAGTTGAACTGGTCCGTACAGTTGGTTTAAATTAGAATTTAAACTGGTACCATAAACAAAAACTAGAATTAAAACCCCTAAAAAAAATCAAAGGTAACCCTTCTCGAAATCTGAAAGATGGAAACAGTGATCGGTAAATGGCGAACAGGAAACCAGGAAACAGACAAGTTAGGACAGAAAACGGGAAACATGAAGCTGGAAATAGAAACTGGAGTCTGGAAAAGAGGAAGAAAACCGAAATAGGGATCTAGAATCAATGAAATGGAAACAAAAAAGGCAGAATGCGGAATGGAAAACAAATCTGGAAACCGGACACTAAGGGAAGTTAGAGGATTTTTGAAACAGCAAACAACAAGTTAGACATTGGAGGAGGAAAACAATAAAAAATAAATAACTGGAAGCTTGATATTGTGAAGAGGTATCTGGGGAGTAGTTTGGAAACAAAAAACTGACAACCAAACCGGAGAACCGGGAACAGAAAAACTGGAATGGGAATCTAGGAAAAGAAAAAGGCAGCGGAGGTACACGTAAAACTGGACGGTAAAATGTATAAACAGGAAACAAGAAGATGAGCTTGACACATGAAACTAAGAGCAAGGATCTGGATACGGAGAACAGGAAACTAGGAACGGGAAACTTTACTTTACTTTAAAGGCGCTAAAATGGAAATGGAAAATTTCAATTCATATTTGGGTGTCGATTTTGGAGAGGCAAAAAATGGCTATAAGATTCATTACCTTGAGAATCCTGTAGACGCACTCCGGGTTTCACTACATCCGCTGCTAATTGGGAAGCGTCTACAGCAGCAATTCTTCAATTCCCTTCCTTTAAAGTCTCAAAATGGAGACCACTTTTGGAGTTTCTCCAACTTGAGGGGTTTAAAATGGCAACAAAAATCCCTTCTTTGCGCTCACCATCGCTTCATTCGCCAAAGTGGAGAAACTTGTAGACGTTTCTCAGGATCCCACTGCGCCGGCTTCAAGTTTAAAAAAATCTGCAGCAGCAAATCTTCATTTGAAACGAAAATCAGATGACCCCTCCTCCTGCAATCATGAAACCATGCACTTGAAAATCTTGTGATAAACTGGAGGGGGAGGGGTTATTCCATGCCCCCCAAACTCCCCGGTGTTACGATTTCTTTCCGAAATAGGCTAAGCCCTGAAGAATATCATGATACTTTAAAAAAGACCGTTGCTTTCCGTTTTTGGGTGAGACCGTAATACCGGGGTGCATGGAACACCCCACAGTGAAACAAAAGCAAATGACCCTTTCCCTAGAATCATGAAATCATCCGCACAAAGGTCTCGTGGAATACTTGGGGGGGGGCATACCTCCCAAACCACGCTTTCTTCCAAAATACGCTACGCCCTAAGTCTATCGGGAACATTTAAAGAAAGACTATTGAGTCTTCCTTTCTTGGATTTCTTTTTTGGGTGGGAATGTAATACCGGTGGGTCTGGGGGCACGGAATACTCCACAGAGGAACAAAATCATAGCACCCTTTCTCTACATTCATGAAAAATGATAAATACGAATATCTCGTAGAGACCTAGAATACGGGGGGGGGGGGTCCATACCCCACAGGATACCCCCCCCCCGGTATTACGTTTTCTTCCGAAATACGCCATAATAATCTAAGGGGGTTATATAATATAGACCATCAAGTCTTCCTCTCTTGGCTTCCGTTTTTAGATGGGAACGTAATACTGGGGGTTGGGTCTGGGGAGTATGGAATACCCCACAGTGAAACAAAATCATATGACACTTTCCCTGTAATCATGAAATCATACGCATGAAGATCTCGTGGCATACAGGGAGGTATTCCATACTCCCCAGACCCCCCGCTATTACGTTTTCTTCCAAAATACGCTAAGCCATAATAATCTAAGGTGGTAATATAATACAGACCAACAAATCTTCCTTTCCTGGCCTCCGTTTTTAGGTGGGAATGTATTCCGTACCACCCAGACCCACGGTATTACGTTTTATTCCGAAATACGCTACGCCATAATAATCTAAGGGGTAATATAATAAAGACCTTCAAGTCTTCCTCTCTTGGCTTCCGTTTTAGGTGGCAACGTAATACTGGGGGTCTGTGGTGTATGGAATACCCCACAGTGAAACAAAATCATATGACCCTTTCCCTACAATCATGAAATTATACGCGCGAAGATCTCGTAGAATACTAGAAGGTATTCCTCACCCGCCATACCCCCCGGTATGACGTTTTCTTTCGAAATACGCTAAGCTATAATACTCTAAGGGGGTAGTATAATAAAGACCATAAAGTCTTCTTTTCTTGGATTCCGTTTTTAGGTGGAACGTAATACCTGGGGGTCTGGGGAGTATGGAAAACCCTGCAGTGAAACAAAGTCATATGACCCTGTCCCTGCAATCATGAAATCCTACGCAAGGATATTTCGTAAAATACTGAGAGGCGGGAGGGAGGTGGGTTCTATATCCCTTTGATCCCCTGGTGTTGTGTTTTTTCCCCGAAATATGCCCTGAACCCTTTCGACATACTTAAAAAAACCCATCGAATATTCCTTCCTTGGTGTCCTTTCTTGTGCGAGAACGTAATAGCGGGGGTCTGGGAGATATGAACTGCTCCCCAGTAAATAAAAAATCAAATAACCCTACCCAATACAATCATGAAAACATGAATCTTTCTTTCTTTGAGAGTACATCTTCAATTTTCTTCTCTTAAAGTGCCAAAATTGAAGTTATCTTGGAGTCTCGTTAAACTGAGAGCCTTGAAATGTCAACAAAAATCCTTTCTTTGCCCCTATTGCCCCATTCATCCAATTGGAGAAGCTTGTAGGCACATCTTCGACTTCCACTGTATTCGTTGCAATTTTAAAAAAGTCTACAACAGCAAATCTTCAATTTTGTTCTTTTAAAGTGCCAAAAAATTGAAGTCTCGCGAACTTCTGAGGCTTAAAATCCTTTAGTCGCGCCCATTGCTTCATTAATCCAAATGCAGAAACTTTTAGACGCATCTCCTGCTTCCTCTGCATCCGTTTGAATTTTAAAGGGGTCTGCAGCAATATATCTCTTAAAGTGCCAAAAATCCGGTCATTTTGGAGGCTCGCTAACCTGAAAGACTCGCAATGGCAAACAAAGATGTCCATTAACCTAGCAGAGCAAGGTCAGCAGAACACAATCAAACATATTGCATAATTTAGGTGCTAATTAGGTGCTAATTAAGTGTCCTATCCTCGAATTAAATGCTTTTTTTTTAATTATTACATGTTCTGCCAGGTTCATATGAGCTCAGCAGAGCACTACCTCAAAAAACCAAGAAAATGAAAAGTGAACTAACTATAATTAGGCGCTAATTAAGTGCCTCTTCGGCGTACCTACCGCTTAAAAAAGACGGCTAATTAGACATGAATCGTCGATGGAAATTGCAATATGACAAATATCAGCCGAGACTTAAAGAAACGATACACTTCAATTATGGAAAATGCAAATGGCGGTACTTACAATAAAAAAGAAAAAAAAACGCAATTATATCCTCCTACGGAGTTAGAGGCTAATTTAACCACTAATTATTCCAACAATATATTGAGCGACCTATTCAAAAGATACGAGGATCTTTCAACAAAATATACCGTGAACACTAATAATGCTTGTAATGAAAAAGATATACTGCTTACCATGCCTCGAAATCCATTCTTGATTCTAACACGTGCTTTCAAACCCTCAGGCGAAATACTTTTTGGGAGAGAATATGCGTTTACTCCCAACACCGGTTGACATTGACACCTGTCAGGTCACGGCGTTTGCGTGTCAAAGATAAAGGTACGTAGATACGTTTGCGACCACCTCGCTATCATTTGACCCAAATTCCGCATTCCAAAATAAACAGATGACTAACCGGCTTATCAGTGGCTATTAGTGAACCTAATCGCTCGGCGCTAATCGATGAGGAACTCGTCATGTCACATTGTAGACAGATGCGGTATTAGTCTAACCTCGCACCGCACAGGATGGGTACGGAAAAAGAGCCTTTACTTTTACGAACGACCACTTACCTGATGAGGTTGTCTTCGGTTTCGGAAATTCGGCGATTTTTAACATTTTGGTTTTGGTTGCAGTGGTATGGAAGATGAGAGGTTCGTGACCCAAGCAGCCTTACACGTTCAGCGCCCTGTGTACCAGACGGAAGAGCTCAACGAGGTGACCACCTATCAGTACAGAACGCCGGATCGTAAGTGATTTCGGGCTTTGGTCGCCGGTTTAGGTTGATTTTTGTAGTTAGAAGGACGGTGCAGAAGAAGTTCGCCTCGTGCAAGGCGAAATCGTGCATTTTCAATACTGTTCCGATTTTGAAATGGTTGCCTCGCTACAATTGGAGGAAGAACATCGCGGGAGATTTGGCGAGTGGACTTACCATAGCGATCATGCATATACCACAGGTGAGTGCTCCAAGAGGACGAACCTGGGCTGATTCGCCCTTTTCAGGGGATGGCCTACGCTCTCTTGGGCAACCTGCCACCAATCACCGGTCTATACATGGCGTTCTTTCCGGTCTTGGTCTACGTCCTGTTCGGCACCTCCAGGCATGTCTCAATGGGTACGTTCGCTGTGGTCTGCCTAATGACTGGAAAGGTAGTCTCGGAATACTCCAACGATGGCACCAGCGCCAATGCGACGGACTTCAACGAAGACTTTTATTACACTCCAATGCAGGTCGCAACCACTGTAACCTTCACCGTGGCAGCATTTCAGGTGAACCCCGAAGACTCCACGCCCTAAATTCAGGTCTTTAATTTCAGATGTTGATGTACATATTTAGATTAGGAATCGTCACCACGTTGCTGTCCGAAACTTTGGTAAACGCATTCACGTGCGCCTCCGCCTTCCACGTCGCCACCTCGCAGCTGAAGGACCTCTTCGGTCTCGTCTTGCCGAAACGCAAGGGAATATTCGCCTTAGTTTTCGTAAGTAAAATTCCGCGTGGCAAAGGTCATTTGCGTCAATTTATTGATTTGTGTACTACTAATTCGATCGACTGATAAAACGAATTAATCCGCTTTTTTCTCTTACTTGGTACGAGGTAGTGATGGGGCCCCTAACTCTATACGGAAGTTTACAAAAGTCACTAAATCACTCTACGCTGGATCCCCTTAGGTCGGGGGCCCACGAGCACGTGCTTGCTCTGCTTGTACGCAAATCCGGCCCTGGGCGGTACAGGTGTGAATGACCCTTTCAGATTTCAAAATAATGGATTACTTGTGACCAAGCACATGATGATGTGACGTCAAGTAGCAGTCACATGAATGTTACAAATAATTAGATATCCGATTGAGATATCTCCCAACACATAAACAACTATATTTAGAGCCTCTATGATTTTTTTCCCCAGTCGAATGGAAGATGCCGTAATTCCTCCTCTTTACATTTACAAAGTTAGAACCTGATGAATTTTCTATTCGTCTTTTCCTCATTTTTAATCTTCGATTGCTAAATTGGAAAATAAACGCTTTAGGAACTCATGCATAATTGAATATAAGAAACTCTAGAATTCCGGAATTCGATTTACGAATTTGGAAATTTCTTTATTTTTGGGTTTGCGAGATTCTTATTTTTCACGATTGAGAAATTCAAAGAAGAGATCCATAAGTTTTGACTTCTAAAAGAGTTGATGGGATTCCAGAATTTGATTTTCGAATTTGTAAATTTCTTCATTTTTGAGTTTTTTGAGATTAGAACAGAATGCATTTCTTAACTACCGACTTTTGGACTTTGTTGTAAGAATTGCTAGAATTCCGAAATTCGAATTTTGAATTTGTAAATTGCTTCATTTCTTAGTTTGCCGATTTTTCCACGGTTGCGAAATTTAAAAAAAAAATTGAACTGGATGCCTTTTGTAATTTTTGCCCGTAACAGGACAGAAGGCGATCCATAATTTTTGACTTTACATAAGGAATTCAAGAGATCAATTTTCACACTTGTACATTTCGTCGTGTTTTTGAGATTTTTGGGAAATAAAAAAATTAGGAATGAATGAGTCTCATAATTACTGCCCATGGATGGACAGTTTGCTGAAAGAATTGCTATAATTTCGGAATTCGATTTTTTAAATTTTGTAAATGGGGTAATTTGGGCTAAAAAAAATGACCCCCCCCCCGCCAATTTTGACAACGGAAATACTCGTTTCACAGCACCAGGAATTCGAAACAAATAAAATCTCTACAATGTCGGTTCGTCGGTTCGTCTGTACTCTCACTTCCAGCCAAACGGCTAAACCGTTTGGAACCAAATTTGGTACACATATTCTTAGTCAGGGGCAGAGTCGCACGTGTGTCAAATTAACAAAAAAAAACTATTAATTTTTGAAGTCTTTCCATATTATGGCTAAACTATTGCATCGTCAGGGTGGTATCTGTGCTAGCCACAGCAAATTTTTGAGTTTGCGGAGGCTTTAGTCGCATAGGGACTATGACATCCAGAGAGCTACATACGATTTTTTGGTATGTACTACCTTTTCCTTGCGTAAGTGTTCTTTATTTCTAACAGAGCAAGGTCAGCAGAACACAATCAAACGTATTGCATAATTAGGTGCTAATTAAGTGCCCTATTCCCGAATTAAATGCTCCTTTTTTAAATTATGATATGTTCTTTTAAGTTTATATGAACTCAGCAGATCACTACCTTAAAAAACAAAGAAAAGCGAACTAACTAATAATTAGGTGCCAATTATGGTGCTAATTAAGTGTCTTATTCCCAAATTAAATGCTCCTTTTTTTATATTATGACATATTTTGCCAGGTTCGGCCCGTGTAGCGCAGTTCAGTGGAAGCTCGACTGCGGTACAGGGTCCCTGGTTCGAATCCGGGTTCGGGCATGGATATTTGTAAATGTATAGGGGGTTGGGTTGGTAGAGCAGCCTCGGCTGAAACCCCGCCCACTTAAAAATAAAGGCAAAATAAAATATGAACCCAACAAAGCGTTACCTTAAAAATCCAATAAAATGGAAGGTGACCTAACTAATAATTAGGAGCGGATTAGGTGCCCTGTTTTTAAACTCTGTGCTCTGCCTTTTTTTGTTTAGTTTTACTTCTGCTATGTGTTTGCAAAAACATGTCGTCAAGT